AAGAGAAAAATCCAATATTAATATTAATTCATCAGAAAAAACTCCCAACATTCAAAACTTATAGGAGATGATAAAAGATGTAGGTATCATTCATGAGATTAGCAACATCTACAGACAAATAAATCTCCGAAATAAATGGATAGAAAATAATAATTAAATGTTATATAACAAAAAGTTTCATTCAGTAGCTTCTAGTCCAGTGTAAGTTGTAACAACAAACAAAAGACCAACTTAATTATGATGTAAAGAACCTACAATCAACAAAATCTTCATATTCATTCAAAAATCAAGTACATCAAATAAAAGTCTAGATCATGCAAATAGACCTGTAACACCAACTGAAGAGTATACCACGATACCCAGGCCACAACATATTACATAATGGGCGAAGAAATTAAATGAGTACTGTATAGTTTGCAGTGCAATAGGTAAAATTTCACTATTTACACCAAAATAAGATAACCTGTAGGAGCTTATTAGAAGCCAATTACAATTCAAAACGAAGAGCAGATCAGCATGAATTGAGCAAAAAGACACATATAACACCACTCAACAGTCGATCATCACAAATGCACGCGCACGTACGTCGTACACACACAAACAATATTTGGTCCTGTCTTATAAAACAATATTGGAGTAACCTAAAGCTTTTTCATAGATGACCCTTAATCACATATCTATAAATTAAAATAAGGATTTCTCAATGCTATACTGTTAATAAATAACAAAGGTTTATAAATTCTATACTTGAATGAAGCAGCAGCACGTAATAAAGTTCATTTATAAAGTTAACAGAAATGAAACAAAGATGGCTCGGTGGATAAAATGGCATGAGAGGAATAAGAGATGGTAAATGACTTACCTCCTACATAAGAGCAGAAAAGCACACCCCAGAAACATAAGGAACATGAGTGACTTAAGAAATGAATCATAACTTGTGACCCAAAAAAGGTAGAAGCTAAGAAGCACAGTGAACCCCCAGTCATCCAGCCTCAAAAGCAAGCATAGTAGTAAATATCAGCTATTCAGAAGTTATCCTCCTCCTCTTCCCATAGTCAGCATCTCTAGATCTTGGACGCTCTTCTTCTTGGGACACACGGGACTTACTATGAGTCCTCGATGGCCGCCTCTCCCATTCTTCATCATAATCTGCTTCACGGTCCCTGTACCTATGATGATCAGCATATCTATCTCTGTCTTCTCTGTAGCGATCCCTATCCCTTTCTCGCTCACGATCTCGATCACGAGAACGCTCACGATCACGGTCGCGTGAGCGTTCACGATCACGGTCCCTCTCACGGTCACGGGTTTCTCTGTCATCACGATGTCTTCTATCCGGCCATTCATGATCGTGTGCTGCCTCTTTCTCCCTAGGTATATCCCTGTCATATCCAGGCTCCCTATCTTCCCGATACTTCCTATCAGAAGACCCTGAAAAGTCTCTATCAGGAACCTTTTCTTTAACAGGATTCTGCCAACCAGTCCGGTCGTGGCTTGCCTCTCCATATTGATGGTCAGACACAGCTTCTTCCCCATAGCTGGACTCTGCAGCTCTCCCAGCATGCTCATCACCAGCCCATGCACCCATATTGGGATCAGACCACATACCCATATTAGGACCATCAACACCAGCATTAGGCATCATTCCCATCCCATTCATGGGCATGCCTCTTCCAAAGAATGCAGGATTCACATGTGGAGCTACTCCAGGCAGGCCAACATTACCCACAGGTGGGAAATTTGACATTAATCCTTGAAATGGAGGTTGAGGTCCACCCGGGAATCCACCATAATTGCCCATTCTCCCCATAGGCCCTCCAAAACCAGGATCAAAACCTTGACCCATCATGGCTTGAGGATGCATCATCGGAGGAGATGGCCCCATACCTTGACCAAACCCATTGCCACCATTTCCCATAATACCTCTTCCAGCCATCCCACCAGCAGGCCTGTTTCTTATAGGTCCAACTGGTCCCCTACCACCCATGCCTTGAGGATTGCCTCTCCCCCAACTGCCTCTCATAAAATTCCTGTTTTGATCCCCACCTTGGTAATTGCCACCAGTTGATATGTTGTTCCCAGTTGGCTTATTTCCACCCTCGGCAGGGCCTCTCCTAGGTTGTGAAAGTGTTTGTGGTGTCGTCTGTTGATTTCTATTAACCTGTGCCTCACCCATCCTCTTGACAGTAAATGGAGAAGCAAATGCAACAACACATGGCCTGCCATTGAAAACATGTCCATTCATTCCCTCCTTACAAGCTAAAGCAGCAGCAGCATCATAGAACTCAACCTGGCAATATCCCTTCGACTTCCCACTAGCTTTTTCATCAAAAAACTTAACTTCTTTAACATTCCCATACTTGACAAGCTCAGTTTCAAGTTCTGCATCCGTAGTCCACCAATGCAAATCTCCAACAAAAAGAACATTCCCACCACCCCCTCCTCCACCAGCACCACCCATACCAGCACCCATTGGCGTAACTTGCACAGCAGAACTTCCTGTTCCACTCATGTTCCCAGCAGTCCCATTCACAACCCCACCTCCACCACCCTGTCTAACAATTCCCTCATTTCCTACACTCATCCCATGTGGCTGCTGGGGTTGACTAATCCCTTGAGGTGGCATACTATTAACTGCTTGCTCATCTACATCACCTACTTTACTCGAATGTGGCCCTAACTCAACCCTCAGTCCACCTCCATAACCACGCCCTGCACCAGACACCCCAGCTCCTGAACCAGAACCCATACCACCATTAGGCTGTACAGGGCCCTTAACATCACTCCCTCTTAAACCCTGATTCTGAAACCCATCTACTCTACCCACATCACCCTCAAACTTTCTCTCTCCCTCACCCTGCCCGACACCCGGAATCGACAACCCATCATCCTCAGACAAAAAGGGGGGTGGGGGATGCTGAGATAGAGACTGAGACTGAGGAGGTTCAAGCCTACTACTTTCACCATCATTCCTAAACCCTACTTCCTCATTTTTCCTCAAAGATTGCAAAAACCCTTCTCCTACATTAACATCATTATAAAGATCCTCGTAATCATCATCTTCCTCACCAAAACCCTCATCAGTAACTGCAGAAATCGCTTCATTACGATGGAATTGCTCCACCTGATCTCCTCCCCCTCCTCCTACCCCTTCAGCATCATCCATCTCTTCCCCTTCTTCTCTAAACCTCTCAAATTGTTAAAACTAGGGTTAGCTTAGTGATTTCTAGCTAACTAACGGCAAAATTAAACAAATTTAGCGCGAGAAAACAGCGAATGTTGCACGCAATTTCAAACAAATTAAATCCATAAACCAGAAACAACAATAAAAATTGAAATTCTAGGGATTTGACTTACCAGAAAGGGAAGAAATTGCAGACGCGAGTGTTGGATTGGAGGGAAAAGGGAGAGAAATGAAAGGGAAAAACGAAGAGAGAGAAAGTTTGGAAACCCTAATCTGGAAGATTGTGTGTGATTTGAAAAGAAAAGGAATAAATTAATTTAGCAAAAAAAAAAAAAAAAAAAAAAGGATTTTCCGAGAAAGAGAGAGAGATGGATGAAAATTCTGATCCATTGTGTCACGAATCCAACGAGTTACGACACAACGAGTTAATGGTAATTTTTTTTTTTAGGGAGAGTTGTTGGTAATTCTACGAGCAAGCCCCGGTTTATCACTTTGTCACTTTTTTATACTCCGTATTTGATTTTCAAAAAAAAAATGTAAATCAAGTATATAAACAACAATCAACGATTATAGTATTTTGGTAATAAAATAATAATTACAAAGCCACATTTAATGAAAAGTTGTTAGTTTGGAATTTATCGTAATTTTGCTCTTTATGTAGTCATGTTTCACAATCACAATCAATATTTGGAATTCAAGGCATGGATTTAAACTGGGATTACTCAGTGATGTCATAAATTACTCATGTCGTCTTAATAAGTGAATGTATTACCGTTATTTAATCTTCATCCCACCTTACTTTCTAACCCAACCTTTTTAAAGCATGGCTGAGTTGAATTGAGGTGAATGAAATGAAGAAATATTGTGTTCATGTTTATGCTCATTTGAGTGGATTTGTATTAGGTGACCCTTAATTTTTGCAATTTTGATTGTATCATTTGGTGTTTCACGCTTGGCAATAGAAAAATTTGGATACTAATTTAAGAGAAGGTATTGGGTGCGGACGTTTGCACGCAAATTTGGTGCGGGAAGCTTGGCTGATATATTTTACTTGTTGGCTGATATGTTTCATGTGTTGGCTGATATGATTTTTGTGTTAGCTAATATATTCCTTTTGTTGGCTGATATGTTTTTTTTTTCCCTTTTGTTGACTGATATCAGACATCATTTGACTTATATGTTTCTTTAGTTGGCTGATATATTTATTTTGTTGGCTGATATGTATATTTTAATTGTTGGCTTGTATGTTTCATTATGTTGGCTGATTTGTTTATTTTATTGGCTTACCTGTTGCTTTTGTTTGTTGATTTCATCCTTTTGTTGGTTGATATGCTTTATTTGTTGGCTGATATGTTCCGTCTCTTGGCTGATAAGTACCTTTTGTTGGCGAATATATTCTTCTTGTTGGCTAAAATGTATCTTTTGTTGGCTGATAGTGTAATACCACGTATTTTTGAAACGTATTTTCTAATTAATTAGTATTTTCTTAAAATGGTATTTTAGTAATTTATTTTACTCACTAGGCGAAAACACGTAATCCGCACCAATTCAGTACCCCCATTTAGCACCGGTTTTGAACCGGTCCTGATTTGGGGGGTGCTAAAACCCCAGACATTTCGCACCAGTTTTGTCTTAGTAACGGTGCCAAAAGTCTCCAAAAATATTTTAAAAAAACTTTTAGCACCAGTTCTTTTCCAAAACCGGTGCCAAAAGTGCCCCAAAAAAATAAGAAATAAAAATAAAAAAATTTTTGCATTTTTTTTACTTAAATTGTACCAAATACTTATATATAATCATAATATATATAAAACACATATATTTTCTTCAATATTTGTGTCATACATCTGATGGAGCTTTATCATCATCACATGAAAAATCAAGCTCAGAAATGCATATTGAAGCAATGAGGGCAGCATATACCACAAAGTCAATAAAAATAGAGTACCTTCCTAACCAGCATTAAAGAGCACTACATCTTTGATAAATAAAATAAAAACTAAGGCAAAAAAACAGCAGACTGCAGCAGCTCCCACTGACCCCAAGCCTGCAACAGAGAATGAGACAGCACAGCCACACCACGACCAGCAACCCCAGCAGCAGCTACAAGCAAAACAGTAACCAGAAGCTACACCACGACTAGGCAGCCAGCACCAGACCCAGCACGAGCTGTCAAAACCAGCAGACCAACAGCACAACAGTGCAACAGCAGCACAAACATACAGCAACTTGTCAGCAAAGCAGCACTGAACACAGCAGCGCAACCACAACAGCAGACAGCAGGCAGAACAGCAGAACAGCAGGCAGCAAACAGCAGACAGCAAACAGAAAGCCAGAAGCTCAGACCAGGCATCCTAACAGCCTGAACAAGACAGAAACACACACCACCAACAAGAAACACAGCAACACAGCACCAGCAAGTCAGGCACCAGCACAGAACAGGGCAAACAAGCTGAAATCCTGACCAGAAAACCATGACAGCAGCAAAAAACAGACAAAACAGCAGCCTAACATACAAAAAACAAAGCAGAAGCTAAAACAGAATGCTACTCTTGAGTTCCTGCAGCCACTTGCAATGCTGTCTCGACCATTTCTTACCAATCACTTGCTGTCCTCTCTCGACCACACTTCTACAGATGTCAGTACACACCCTTGGGGTTTTGGTTGCTGTTTTGTGTTAGCTGGTATAAATCAGTATACACCATGTAGTAAAGAGTAGTGCAAACTTGTAATGAAACAGATTAAGATCGATAGAAGCAAAAAAAATAAAACACATACCACAGTGCATTCTACACAAGACCCAAAAACCCAATGCTCCACCAACTGTAAAAATCCCAGCTGTTTGTCTCATTAATCTTGAGCAAGGCTTCGCATCTGATCGCATGAGCTCACCATCAGACCACCCAAGAGCATGTCTCAACGCCATCAAACAATGGTTTCTTTCAAACCTAGCTAATTGCTTGAAATATTCTCGTCGAAAATTTCCCTATCCAGATTTCAACTAGAGTAGTATTTTTTTTTTTTTTACAGGATTAGCTTACTCAAATGACACAAAGGTACCTGACCAAGCATTACACAACACCCCATCAGCAAATGCGCAAATCTAGCTCGCTTAATCAAATTAATCAAATGCCATATTCATCCAATTAATCACTACCTACCAAGCAAAACTCAAATGCTATCCATTACCTGGGGTCTGCTAATGAATCATTTGCTAACAAACTAGCCTCCAAATCACTACTGTGTACCTTAAATTTGCTAATTTGATAGAGTAATCAACAACCATTACTAAGTATAGCAGAATTTAATATTCCAAGAATCCAAATTTGTTAATCGAAGTTCAATTTTTTCTGCGGAATTTCATCAAACACCTGATGTGAATACTCTAAAAACTCCATCTTTCACTTACACAACCACATTTCTAAGACCCTTGTTCCTATTCTTGATTTTATGGTTTTTTTTTTTTTTTTTTTTTTTTTTCTCATACCCACAAAATTCAATTAATCAATCAAATAAAAATGACCCTTCATTAAATTTTTAATACACAAAATTTATTTTCACTTACATTGATACTAGGATTAGAGAGGATTATATTATACTCAAAATCATTAGCTGCTATAATTTTAATAAATTATAAAGAAATAAACCAAAGTTTAAAATGCAAAATAGTTGAGTTTACAAGAAAAAAGGGCACAATATAAGAAACATGAAAGAAGAAGCTTTACCTGCCGATATTCTTAGCCGGAGGAGATCTTTGCAGAGTTGGGAGAGAGAAAGATGGACTAATACATGGTTTTTTATTTTTTTTAATACATCAGAACATGTTCTGTGACTTGATCTCATATACAGAAGACACTGATAACTGATACTCAGAGTTCTGATGTATTATTTTGTATCTAACTATATATACACTTCCATGGTATTACAAAAAATTCAACTATTACAAAAAATGAAACTTGCCTAATCAACATGAAACTAGCACCGAGTATTGTGTATTTTCGTGATGAACTTAAATTTCAAAGAAACTAAAAAAAAAAAAACTCAGGCTCTAATTGTACCCCAATGTCCACACAGGTACTGAGTATATCAAGGTTCCCAAGCCAAATGATATCAGGAGGGTGATCAATGCATATACGTATGCCCTCCAAGGATGACTGCTCTCTCTCATTGCATTATATTCGGCCATGAATGTGGAGACAGTACTTAGGCATCCCAAGAGGCCAAATTGTATCCCTGAGGAAACCGTGTCACAATCCTTTGTACTGACCTACACCAAGTACACAAAACTTTCAGATACTCGGCTAATGGACTACCAATAAAGCTTAGCAATACTTTTAAAGCATTGAGCACATACTTCTATTTTTCAACATCGAAACTGAAAAATTCATAAACTCAAATTCAACAACAAAGGTGTGCAAGATTGCAAGTGTTTAGCCAAGGATCAAGAGCAGCCACAAAATGTCAAAATGGATTAAAAGATTAAGCAATGAGGCAATTGATGCTAACAAACATCTAATGAGGCAACCATGTATCTAATTTTGAGAGTATTTAAAGCAACCACAATTGCCTGCAATAAGCCTTAAAGGCACATCAACCAAGCCCACTATTATAATTGTACGAGTAAATAGAAAAAAACATCACCGCTTTTTTCACAGTAGCAAGAGCTGCCATCACGCATGCTGCGGACACATTAACAGCCAATGTCCCAAATGGGATCCATTTCCACCTTCCTGCTTTCCCCAATCCACGTCCATTGAATCGAGCAAGCCACCACCTCAACCAAACCCCGAAAGGACCGACTAGACATCCCAACCAAAGTTGAGCACCACTGCCGCCATTTTTAAATTCTTTGTTCTCCAAGATCCCACTTGTGGTCCACAAACCAACCCACACCAACATTAATACTGTTAGTACTATCAAGTGACTCTTAAAGTTATTCACCCTCAACTTACTGAAGCTTGAACTATTTCCAGTCCTTTCAAGAAGCCACCTAAAACCCTTAGCTGTCTCGATTCCAACAATAATAGAATAAGCAGCAAGAAACAACCCTGCAAGTAACAAAAGGTGAGGATATACTGAGATCATAGATGATGAAATTTCTATGTACTTACTGAAAAAATATTTATAAACAAAGTAACAAAGCCATGGCCATAGTTAATATACCACAAAGGTCACAACTCACAAGTAACAAATCCCAATGACAACATTTCCATACAAAACAATTACCTACGAGAAAGCCCAATACAGCGAATACCCAATGCCCATTGACGCTAAGATCGAGCATTTTCTGATTCCAACCACTGAAGGTGGTAAGGCTTCCAAGATAACCAGTGGAAAGTCCGACTGCAAGGTGATCTGACATGTGTGATATCTTGCCTTTGAATATTACACCCAACCATCCCATTAAAAATGAACCCACCTGCAAAATGCCCAAAGTTCTGTAAGAAAACATAACCAGTCCTATTGTCTTCGTTCGTAGAGGCAAAAGAACCAATTTTAGAGAAACAGTTGTTTAGAAAATTTCAAGATGCATAGAAGAGAAAACTAGAACCTTCTCCTAAGGAGCTTGCACACCTGAAAGTTGGTTACTCTTCAATTCTACACATCTAGCGAATTGAATCGAAAGGATGGTCTATCATGTAAGGCAATTCAATTAGAAAAAGAATAATACCATGTTAGATGGTAGATCAAGATATAGGATGCTCTTGTCACTCGTCACACCTATAACACTAGAGCCAAACAGTTTCTGTAGTAGAAACCTGGTAAGAACCTGCAAAATCAGATATTGCTAAGTGAAGACTCAAGATACAATCCCAACTTGCAAAAGCCTGAAGTCATTACACGGTGAGATTTGAGAAACACAGAACAACTACTTAAAATTCTCCTTACTGCAAGAAAATCATGGATGATGATAAAAGCTCTTACCCCAAGAATTCCAAAGACAGACAAATGTATGAGGTAGGCACAATATTCAAAAAGTGGTGGCAGCTCCTTCTTCTCCTCCTGTAGTCAAATAATGCACAACATGAAGTTGAAGCAAATGAACCAGTCACATTAAACAATGATTCAAGCAAAAGGAGAAGCCTATATCTAAAAGTGAGCTTACTTGTTTATTGTGCAAGAGAGCACTTGTGGAGAGTGGAGTTATGATTTCAGACACCAATGGTGATACTGGAGATATGGTGTTTGTGGTGTGATCATGAGACCAAAAGCCATATGAATCCAGTAATTCTTCTGCATTTGGAAAAGCGATCCCTCGTTCCATGGATGATTGGACGCTCTGCCTCTGACTTCCTCTTCTGCTAACTATCCTATCTCCAATATCCCCAGCCAATGAAACAGATTCGTTTTCTACATCCTCGTCCAGATAAGGGCGAGAAGCACCTGACAGGCTAAATAATCTTCGCAGTGAGGCACCACTGCTGCTTGCTTGAGCTATTGAGTCACCACGTGTCAGCTGATTTCCAGGTCCATTTTCTGCAGCATTTTCCACAGACAATAGGAGACCACTAGCCAAGTGATGTCTGTTAACATCAAGTGCCTGGTCTCCAAGTTCTGCTGGAGAAAGATTATCATTTGAATGTGAGTTAAATCCAGCAGGCAGACTAAAAGAAAGGCCTCCAACCGATAAACTGGAACTGTCAGTTCGTCCCAGAGAAGCACTATGCGTTTCTTGTGAATCGGTAGTTACATGTTCTGCACTGATCTGGTCAGATTCAACGGCAGCCATTGGTCCGTACTAGAAGCAGGAAGAAAATCATCAGGTTTTAGTATCCTTGACAAAGTGGACAAAGGACATAGATGTGAGACCAAGGTTTAACATCTACCCCAACTTGTTTTCTTATTATTTAGTAATAGTGCATTAGAATAGTAGTATGATTTTATGGTATAATCATGAAAATGTAAAACAGACAGAAAAGAAACGATAGAGATGACAAGATTGGATAATTATTCTATAGCATTAATCTGCTGGAAATCAGCCAATAATCATGAAGCAGGTAGCATAAATTATTGTTATACAAGTATATGTTATTAGTTGTAATGGTCAGTTGAAAACAATAAACATACATGTACGACTTTCAAACGATAGTAGACTCCAAGAAGATAGTGACAAATTCATAAATCATTCTGATGGATCAAATAATAGTATAAGCTTCTAATCCAAATGAGGTGATATAAACAAGAGTGAGTATTAATAAGTAAAGCTCAAACTCCGTATTACATTTGATGATTAGAAAGAAAGAAATTAGTGGTAATATGCAAATTAACAAGTATATTAATGATTGATATAATAATATCACAAAAAAAAACAGAACTTTAAGGTGATGACATAGAGGAGTTGTAAAAAGGAAATAAAGACAAAATGGAAGATGTGTCCTCCATTAACAAGGCAAAAAGTCCCCTCAACAATTAATTTATTTAACCTATTAAAAAGTTAAAACTAATTGATTAATAGGAATAGCAAATCATCAAATAAGAGAGAAAAAGAAAGGGAAAAAATAATAAAATTCTAACCTTGATATATATAGGATGAGATAACCACTATTAATAGATCAATAGATGCTTGTTGTATAAATTGAGGAAGCCAGAGTCGGATTTAGAGTGAGAGATGATCAGGGGGTGGTACTGTTTGCAGCCACGAGAAGGGTCCGTGCTAGGTGGTCGGTGGACAATTATGCACAATTTTTTTACTCCGGATATAATATTTAGTATACGTCCGTTTTCCTGAGTGCTACCCATTTACCTTTTATAAAGTCAAAGTTTTAAAATGTCACCAACTTTTATATGTGGCCGGCCACATATGAGATTTACTCAGTGACTACTCGATTAGTTTTATAGGAGTTATTTTGTTATTTTACAAACGGGCATATGGTGTAACCAACCACATACAATATCTTATTGTGTATATATAAGAAAAAGATGATATAAGTGAGTAGCACTTAGGAGAAAGGAGAAAATAATTTTTTTTGTAATCTCTAACTATCATTTTATATACTCTCTACATAACTTTTTTTATACGTAGTAAAATCTTTATTGGAAAAAAAAAAAAACTCTTTCAAAGTTAAATTGAACCAAATATATTGAATCGTTAATGACTCGTACCCATTATCAAATTGAATTGTAAACAATTTGAACTAATCAAGTTCGAACTCGAAGTAACTCGACGACCTGCTCTTAAATTATTTAAAGCCGTTCATTGTGTTGTATTTTAAATATAAAAAATAGATAATACACATATTATAAACTTTTATTTTGTAGAACATAGATTTCAATTTTAATTGATAGAGCTCCCAATGTAACTCAATCTTGACAAAAAAGAAAAAAAAAAAAAAAAACTATGTATTAGTCCATCTTTCTCTCTCCCGACTCTGCAAAGATCTCCTCCGGCTAAGAATATCGGCAGGTAAAGCTTCTTCTTTCATGTTTCTTATATTGTGCCCTTTTTTCTTGTGAACTCCACTATTTTGCATTTTAAACTTTGGTTTATTTCTTTATAATATATTAAAATTATAGCAGCTAATGATTTTGAGTATAATATAATCCTCTTTAATACTAGTATCAATGTAAGTGAAAATAAATTTTGTGTATTAAAAATTTAATGAAGGGTCATTTTTATTTGATTGATTAATTGAATTTTGTGGGTATGAGAAAAAAAAAAAACCCATAAAATCAAGAATAGGAACAAGGGTCTTAGAAATGTGGTTGTGCATGTGAAAGATTGAGTTTTTAGAGTATGCACATCAGGTGTTTGATGAAATTCCGCTGAAAAAATTGAACTTTGATTAACAAATTTGGATTCTTGGAATATTAAATTCTGCTAAACTTAGTAATGGTTGTTGATTACTCTATCAAATTAGCAAATTTAAGGTACACAGTAGTGATTTGGAGGCTAGTTTGTTAGCAGATGATTCATTAGCAGACCCCAGGTAGTGGATAGCATTTGAGTTTTGCTTGGTAGGTAGTGATTAATTGGATGAATAATGGCATTTGATTAATTTGATTACGCGAGCTAGATTTGCGCATTTGCTGATGGGGTGTTGTGTAATGCTTGATCAGGTACCTTTGTGTCATTTGAGTAAGCTAATCCTGTAAAAAAAATACTATTCTAGTTGAAATCTGGAAAGGGAAATTTTCGACTAGAATATTTCAAGCAATTAGCTAGGTTTGAAAGAAACCATTGTTTGATGGCGTTGAGACGTGCTCTTGGGTGGTCTGATGGTGAGCTCATGCGATCAGATGCGAAGCCTTGCTCAAGATTAATGAGATAAACAGCTGGAATTTTTACAGTTGGTGGAGCATTGGGTTTTTGGGTCTTGTGTAGAATGCACTATGGTATGTGTTTTTATTTTTTTTGCTTCTATCGATCTTAATCTGCTTCATTACAAGTTTGCACTACTCTTTACTACATGGTGTATACTGATTTATACCAGCTAACACATTCGCGTCTCTGTATTTTTTTTTTGTTATTTTTCATACCATTAAAAAAGAAACTTATGAAACTGCTGTTATATAGTCTTTACTTTATGTAGTAAACAAATCTGGAGAAATTTATGGTGCCTCTGTCCTCTGAACTTTTGTTCGTGGCGATAGCTATTATACTTAAAACTATACAAGGTCCTTATAGTTTTGGCACCTATTTGTACTACAATATTCTATTTACCCTGTTTATGATATTTAATCTCAATTGATTTAACTCCTCTCCCTTCACCCACCTGGTTGGAGAACTCATTCCTTAGATAATGTTTGAAGTTTCTCTCCAAATCCTTTTGGTAGTGCTCATGGACTCTCACCCTCATTTACCCCAAACCACACCAAGAAGCCTTTTGGACAAATATGAGTGCTCTATTCCTCCTTTCTCATAAGCAAATTCAATGTTCAAGACCAGGAAGAACATCTACAGTTGGGGGAATGTTTTAACTTGCAAAAGTTATTCATTTCTTTTTAAAGTTCGAACAAGGGCATTGCATAGATGAGAATGAAATAAGAAAATCCAAAACATATGCATACCATGTAGGATTCCCCATTTCTCCCATCTTTTTTTGGATAATTACCTCTAATGGTCATTTGGTTGTAAGCAGATATACTTTGTAATCTTATTACTTAAACTTTCCGATGTGCCCTCTTGTGATTTTCACTTGGATTAGCTCCCACCTTTAAAGAATTATAGCAGCTGACATGCTAATAATATCTTCACATTATTCTAAAGTACCAATGAACATAGCAGTAAGTCATCTATATTCTAAGTGTATATCTAAAGTTTGAGCTGAGAAAGTATCTATATACAGGATTATGAATTCATTGGATGTTGAGATGATCAGATCAATTATCCTTATCGATCTTTGCTTACTGTCATTGCCTCATTTGTCATCCCCAATCTGCCCCCAGACTTCTTAATTTAGTTATTTTAATAATGGCTTTTAGCTTAATCTTTAGGAATGAATAGGATTATTGCAGTTAATGTAAAATGAATAAAACAGATGGAGCTCAAAGTTCAAGTTTTTGTCTTCCTTTTGGCAATCTAACTTCTTGCCCTATCAACTGATGAAGACTAGAAAGCGTAGCCATGCCATTACCACAGCATAATTTGCTGCTATTAATTTATAGTGTACCTAGTCAGTTTCATGTATTGTTATATGCCTTGTGTTAGAGATTCCTTCATGTATACTTGTCAGCATGAATGAAGTGATAAGTCTGATAGCAGTTGTGCAGGTGGATTAATGTCTACATCTCTTTTAATGAAAATTTGAGGTGTGGTTTTGTCAGGTCACTCCCAATATTAAATAAAAGGAATATAACACTGAGAAAATAATTATATGCCCGATCATTAAGCAGTCAGAGAGAGTAATGGAGTGAACCAGTTAGGATAATATTCAAAAGAGTGAGGTTTGAAGTATACTGCGCTGCATGAGGATGGCTCACACTGTAGACTCATGCTTTTAATGCTCCTCTATTACTCTGTCTCTTTGTTTCACATCAAGTATCCGTGCTAGATGCTCGACTCTTGAACATAGGTGTTAAGAGTATTAGACACTTCAATTTGGATCAATAGTAGCCAAAATTTCATAAATTGGCCATGTTGTGTCTGACACTTTTTACCAAGTCTAAGTAACATAGGTGCTTGTACTGAATTGCTTTGATGATAATAATATTTTATAACCTATGCCATTGTAATGATCTTTTCTGCATTAGTTCGTAGATGTAGTACTAGTACTATTTGCTCCATTTAGTTTGTCACGGAATTTTCACTGGGCAACTTTGAACTCTGGGCTGGTTGAAGATTATCCCGGTGTTAGAGTATTTCTTATGGGCGAGAAAACATTAGGCATATCAACTGCTAAATCCAAATTTCACTGGAAGGAGCCAAATAATCAGGTTGTATCTTTAGAGCTTGCAATTATGGGAATATTACTTATGCTCGTATTAGGATGGTTTATTTAAGAGCTTGCGGTTACTTTAGTCTTATGTTATTTGAGTATTCTCCTCAAGTTTTATCACCGGTGAGTTTGTCATTCACCAAGTATTAGAGATATCAACAGATGTAGCTAAATTATACCACGTGATTGACATGAATAATTCAAAGTTTCAATTGTCTAATATTCACCTGTAGATAATCTAGACAGTCACAAAGTTCTATTGAGAAGTGTTTGTAATTTCTATTATCTACTAGTACAACATACAAAATTAGACCCAACAAAAATTAGAAATATTAATTTTAGACAATTATGATGATTTCCCTTTAAAACGTGTGATTATATAGCTTATAATACAAAAGTGCAATTAAATTAAAAAGATGGGCTAAACTTGGGTTTGTTTTGTCATTTATACTAATATTCCCAAAATTTGTCACTGTTGGTTACCTCAAGGAATTGGCATATTTCATTTCTATTCTAATTCAGCACTTAATTTTGCAATCTCTAAATTTGTATGAGGCATTTTTTTTATTGATTTCATTTATTTTCATTCATTCTTGTGGTTTTCTATGTTTGGCAGGATCAAGAGTAACAATTCCCAGAAGTCTAAGATAGGCGGCTTGTGGAGCTGTTTCTGTTAGCTCAACAACGGCTCTTCTGGTCCGCCTTTTCAGTCCTGAATGCGAACCCCAGAACATAGTTTCTTATGACAATAAAAGCTGAGTTCCTTTTTAAAATCAATGTAAGATGTATGTTATCCCTTGTATGGGACAATCATGCAACAAACTTCTGATGCATAGTCACTCAATGTGAGATAGGGTTTGTTATGGTCTTTTGATTGGTTTGTTATGAGTGCCCTCTCATCCTTGGAGGCTTGGATTTGCAATAAAAAGTTTGATAGGGTTTTTTCTAAGCCAATATCCGATTCTTGTGATTCTTCTACTTCGGCGACCCATTCCACTTGTTCCATAACACGGGTTTATTAGTTCTGTAATCTATAATATTAATCCCTTGATCTGTTACAATCCAATTGCAATCTTTATAATCATAATAGTAAATAAATTGATCTTTCATAATAAAAACGTCACTTTTCAAGTAGCCATATTTTTTAGACCAAACATTGCACCAATAAAGGGTAGTATTAAAGATATTTGGTTTAAATTTCCATGAAAATGCTTGATGAACATTTAGTATGTGATAACCCAAATCGTCGTTCTTTGATTTGCAATGAATTCTGATTGGCTGATTACCAGGCAATTCATTCTTTATTGAAACGTGAATATTCGCAAATATGACTACATATTGATTTAAAATGACTACTGCAAATAGAACTATTCCCCAAGAAGATTTATACATGCTTGCCAAAATAATAATGGAATATTGCTAACTTAGATTCCTATATATTAACAAATAACTTATACTATGTATATGACACTTGTCCATGGCTAACTTAGATTCCTATATATTAACAAAAACTTAATTACATTCCTACTTATATTAGTTATATTCTACATCACAAAGTAGACATATCATTAGTCAAACAAACATAATAATTTGTGGAGTTTGGGAGCAATTAAAAATATATGAAACACATTTCTAACTCTTTTACGTACCTACCACCTCCGCATCAAATTAGTTGCACCATTATTTATTTATTAAATCAAACTAACCTTAATGTTTGCTTAAAACAAGCTTCAAATTGAAAACACAATACACACCTTTGTCAATGGCGAGATCTAATGTTCAGAAGTAAAGCAAAAGCAACATATGAATTTGTGTATGTTGAGTGGGGAGCTTGAATACTGGTTTTGTGTTTCAATTTGCTATAGCTTAGATCTTTATTCTACTTAAAGTTTTTAATCAGTTGTTGAAAAATTAAAGAAGAGGAATATATAGGTTATTGATTTTGTTGATATTCAGTCATAATATATACCAAGTATATCTTTGTTAGTAGTTGTTTGATTCCTTGGAAATATTATATTAGGTTTCATTGAATTCCATAAATAATGATCGGGTAGGCAAATTTTTTGATATTATGGTACATAATTTTTTAATCAAAACATATACGTAGTATGTTTGTTTGAGAAAAATGAATAATCAGTTGTACAAAATCGTTTTTATTATAGTTGAAAAAATGAGTAATAATCGGTTTGTACATTGTAAGGTGCACAAAGTTTTTAGTTGTAAGTCCAAAAACTCAAAGTTAATTAGTAACATGGATATTGTAAAAGTCCAGAGAGTGCGAGGTAGCTAAGGTGGTTAGAGCTTTTATCAAGTGGACATTGGTATTATTATATACGACGTACTATAGTTTTATGTGGACCATGTGGTGGGATAAGGGGTGATAAAAGTGAAAATTTTCTTTATAGCGTAAAAAGAATAAAGCAAAAGTGGGAAGATAAAAAAGCACATATCATAACAGAAAGTAGAAAGATAAAAACCATTGGAGTAAGTATGTTTTTAAAATATCAAAATTTATTATTTGTGCATTAGCAAGCAAGAAATTCCAAACATAGCGTTTATAAAAGAATGGAAGAAGTATAAATTACCAGATACAGTCAAGTTTTCTTATTTCAAGATCGTTGACCAAAAAACAACAATGTATGTAAAACAAAACTGAGCAGGTGGAATGTACTGAGTATATATGATACTTTTACAATTAGTACAATATAAAATTATCGAAGGGAAAAATAACTAAAAAAAAAAGTAGTAACGTCTTAACATAGCAGAAGTAATCTTCTTTATCACAAATTCACAACCATAGTGATGGAATGATTTGAGTTAAAAAGAAGGATAATCATCAAATAGCTTTTCTAACTACATTTGCCAAAATTGCTAATTTGCATATGTTTTGGTGCAAAATTTATTATTGCAATATGCAAATTTATTATCCTACCCAATTAATAATTGATTGTCATTTGAATCTTCTAATGAATGAAAAACCTATTGAGGCGATGGACTAGGTGATTCTTGTTGCTTCTCGTCATTCCACTTGTGCCAAAGAACGGGATTGCTAGTCTTAACATCAATAACATTAATGCCTTGATCAGTTATAGTCCAAGTGCAATCTTTAAAATTACAATAATGATAAAATTGTTCTTTCTCTGAGAAAACTTTACTAGATACATAACCGTATCTCGACCAAATATTGCACCAATATAGAGTTGATTCAAAAATATTTGGAGTGAATTTCCAAGTAAATGTTTCCTTATTTTGGAGTATGCTCTCACCTAAATCATCATCCTTGGATTTGCATTGATATCTCAAAGGGAGATTATCAGGCAGCTCATTCTTTATTGTAACATGAGTATACCAACTATCTGGCCATCCTAGGATCACTTTATATTGGTTTGAAATGACTATTGCTAACATGATCATTACCCAAGAAAATCTTTCCATTTTTCTTGTTTTGAGAATTTTGTTTAGCAAGCTCTTAATAATCTGATATAAGTAAATTAAAATGATTTGTAAGGGATATGTGTTACTTGTTCATAAATATCATTGATTAGATTTATTTTGTATGGTAAGAAATCTTGTGTAATTTCCTACTTTTCACTCTTTGATTGCCCTTGGAATTTGGAATAGTTACTGCCTTTGCCATGCATTTCTAAAAATAAAGGGTATATTTTTGTACTTTTATGAATTGAAAATAGAACACATGGATTGAGCCCATTCAGGGTTCCTAAAAAGAGATAATTTAGTTTAACACGACTTCACCACACACGCACATACACACATTTTTTTTTTTTTAAAAAAAAAAAAACAAATTTAATTGATTTCTTAAAATGTTTAAGATTAATTTTAACTTAATAAAAAGGGTTAAATTAAAGTATAAACCATGTGATATAATTAATGTTTTATACCTTCTAATGTGATAAGGATAATAAACTCAGGCCTTATTTGATTGACATGGGAATTAAATTTCCACAGGAAATTGCATTTCATGGGAAGTTATTTTCATATTGAAATTTCTAAGAATTTCCTAAATTTGTTTGGTTGGTAATGTGGAAATTTAGAAATCTCATGAATTTTGATTGACATAGGGAGGGTTAGGTAATTTACTTTACTTCCCTTGTTTTGTGAGAAGTTGAAATTCCCATGAATTTCCACTTTCCTCATTTTTGCTTTTTGTGTCAACCAAACAACTCCTCAATTTATCAAATCCCATAAATTTCCACTTCTTCCATTTTATGTTGTCAACCAAACAAGACAGTCACAAAATCAATCTCATTGGCTCATTCTAGTAGATGATACTCATTCCATCGGTTTATTTTATTTGCTCAATTGTAATTTGCAAGAATTTCGGAGAATGAAAAAGTATTGATCTGAGAAATAATGAAAGGAGTGTGGAACCCAATTTTAGTAGCTAGAGAGAATAGGTAAAAAGGACATCATAAAAATTAAAGAAAAGTAAGGCATGTTAAAAGGGACCTGTGGACTATGAAGTACGAAAATATACGTTTACCCCTTTTGTTGCCATTAATATAAGATCTTGTTAATGAACGCCTCGCTTCCGAGACGTTTGATAAGCATTTAAAATACTTCTTAAAGTGGTATCAATTTGGAAATGCATGTCAAAATCACGCGTCGATCAGTGTAATTAATGTTTATTTTAATTTAATATTTCTATTTTTAGCTATCTTATCCAACGCTCTCGAGACGTTTATTAGCTTTTACCTTAATATAAAACGAGGGTGGTATATAATTATAGGGTAATGCTATATGTAGCCCTAAGTGCTATATATATAAGCATTAAATACACTCTCGAAAATTGTATAAAATTAGGTTTTCATGACAAAAACATGCGTAAATCAGTGTAATTAGTATTTATATTATTATGATTTCCTAACTTTATACGATTTTTTAGTGTGTATTTAATGCTTATATATAGGCTTAAAGATTATGTATAGCATTTTCCAGAATTATATAACCTACGGAATACTTTCTAAACGATGATTGCCTAATTGTCTAAATGATAATTAAATATTAAAACCCAAAAATATTTAACCCTTGACAACAAAAATAAAATCCAACCGAAACCACCCAAAATAGGCGCAAAACTTAACGGAACGTTTACCCACCTTCTATAGCCGGTAGTCCATCAAACAACAACGGCTACAAAACCTGCTATAGCCAGTCACCTCAAAACATTCCACTCCAACGGTCACCTTAATATTTTTAAAAAAAACCTAATTCTTCTACACTTTTTATTCAATTCTCACTATATATAAATCTCTCTTTTTTCATCCCAACAAAAAAAACAGAGAAACCCCCAAAAAATCATTAAACCAATCTTTCCCATATATTCATACGACAAACATTCCCAATTATTACTTTTGAAAATCAGTGGAAATATCAAATATTGTTTAATTTTAATATCCCAATTTAGAAATTGAAAATGCATAGATTAATTTCAGTTTTTGTTGGGTTAATTTTATTATGTAATTTGATTACTCCATCAAATTCACAAATTTCTCCATCTTATGCTCCTTCTTCATCACCCACTTCACTCCCTAAGATTTCGAGATCGCCGGTGATTTCACCGGTGCACTCTCCTCCGGTGAAATCTCCGGTACATTCTCCGGCGAGTTCACCGTCTCGCGGTCCCGTCCCTCCAACACAGGCCCCAGTTTCTTCGCCACCCGTGTTCGCCCCTGTTCCTCCAGTGGTCGGAAGTTCACCTCCGGTGAGTTCTCCGGCGGAGGTGCCGGGGGTTTCTGAGGGACCAGTAATGGGCATTTCATCGAGTTCCGCGCCACCAGCCGAGGCGCCTTCCGGGGTTGTTCCCTCGGTGGCGAGTTCACCGGGAGTGTTATCGCCCGAGGCGGCCGAGGGACCGATGCCGATTGCTGATGACTCTGGAGCAGAGGCTAAGTTTGGGGTTGGAAGTGTTGTTTTGAGTGGAGTGGCTGTTTTGGTTGCCATAGGTGTTTAAGAGAATATTAAGATATGGTTTTAATTAAATTAGTTTTAGTTCATTTATTTATTAATTTGTTATGTATTTATTTTTGGTAGTAGTGATTTATTAGTACTATTATTATTAGTACTTCTATTATGATTAATTGATTAGTATTATGAGACATGATTATTTTGATTGAATGCATAGAGTATCATTTTATTATGATGATATTGTGTGATTAATCATTAAACTCCATATGATTGAAAACACTTATAATTTTTTTCTCTTTAAACGTTTTTTATGTCTATCTTATTGTTCTAAAATAACAGTTACTATTCCCTTAGATTTTTGGGGTAGTTGAGAAGATTTTGGAGATCAAACTGCTCCAAATTCAAAGGAAGTCCTTATATAGTCAGATCATTGATCTTCCATCATATGATTCAAAAGGATCCATAACACTCGCTCCTTCTATTTGTTTGTTTGCCTTTTGTTTTTAATTGAAGATTTTGGTTTACATCTACTAATACTATATACGAACTATATACTTTCTTTGTTCGTTCCCTTAATATTGCAACAATTATCATTTCAAGATGTGTCACAAATATTACAACAATTTTTCATTTTTATATGTTTTCCCTCTATCTCGATCCTCTCCTCATCACATGGGTTGTTTTTAGCTTTCTTATCGCCTTAAAAATCATGCCTACCTCCCTTGTTGCAAAGTTATAATATCAAGAGAATAGAGGAAGTATATAAATTGAAACAAATGCACCATGTAAAGGATGAGGTAAGGCGTTGGTGCGTGCATAATACATTTCAACATGTGTATTAACAAAGTCTCGTATACTTGTGAAAGTGTATGAGGCAAGCATCATAGAGATAAAAAAATTTGGAATTTCATTGTAATGGAACAATACTTGGTATATGTGTTTTCTAGTCATTAACAACTTCAAAGTAGCATGTGGTATGGTGATAAGAGAACATGATTATTATGATTAGAGGTAAGAGGTCACAAGATTACATACTTGTATTTATATTTTACTTTTGAGATACGGAGTATTAATTTGCTTTGTTAAGCGAGTTTGTCGATGACTTTTGTGATAGAGCTTGAATGTTACTGACACTCCAATATATAATGATTGAATTAGAATTGATGAAGCCTTCTAAAGTTGCATATATAAACGCCTATTAGCCTATTACTTTGTTTTCTCTAAATTTGGACCAATGCATCCATATGCTAGCATGTTACCCATGTAATGTGAATCCAAATTCTTTATCTTGCAGATTGTGTATCACATTGTATTATTTTCTCCAATTAGTTGATATTGACGTAAACTTAATTTTGAAAATAAAAAGTGATGGATAAAGTAAAATTTTACATGTACTATACACGAATGGACGAATCTAAAATCATATAAGGCCATAAGGTCTTCCAAAAGACGAATGTTTTATTTGTCCCGTGTTGTAACATCATCCATGCATAATCCTACACAAAAGTATACTAGGAATTTTCTAGATTTTATACATATTAATAATTAACAAGCTAATCATCTAATTAATGCAATCATATAGTGTATCATGGAGCATCATCGGAAGCTTCAAGGTAGGACCCAATGAATACTAATTGGAAAAAAAAATTGAATGATTTAGCAATGCCCATACTTTGACTGCTTGATGCTCTGCCAAACAAATCTAATGAATTAGGGTTAGATATTTTTTATACGAGTATTTTGTTGCATTGCACTCTTATCCTTTGTGGATGACTACATCCACATTGGATTTTCGGTATCAAATTTAAGACTTATTTCTGCATCCGAAATAAAGTTATTCAGCTTGATTTTAATAAGATATGGGTTGGTTTGATCTGATTTTTTTTATTTGATTGATATATTGATTTGACTAAGCTTTGCCCGTATTTTTATATAAGAAAAAAAATCTTTATCAAATTGGATCTTGTTAAGTTCCTCTCATCGTGTACTTTTCAAATATGCTACGGTGTATTTTGCATAAAGTTTTAGTAGCACGCAATTAAAAGTATTAAGCAATTAGTAAATTAGGGTTGTTAAAAGATCTGACTTGGTATGATCTAAATATTTCTGGTCTGGTTTGATCCGATTTTGACTAGAATAAGTAACAAGTAACAGGAATTTTGATACGACTTGAATTTAAGGCAGCCCACCCAGACATCCCAACCCCCTTGCCCCCCGATGCTGGATACCCCAAACCCTCATCGCCGGCTGCCACCCCCTTCCCCAACAATTCGCCACCAACCATCACCGTTCAATCCACACTTCGCGCCGGATTTGGTTACTTGTAGCATGAATTTATGGTGGTGGAAGGGCTATCGGAAAGAGAAAGGAAGGAGGAAAGAGAAGGGAAGGGTGGTCAGAGGGGGGTGGGATGTCTGGGTGGGTTGCCGAAAGTTATGTAGGAGGAGGAAGGATGGAGGAAAGAGAAAGGAAGGAGGTAGAAAAAAAAAGTTTTTTAAAAAATATATGTTGTTTAAAAAAAATTATCAAAATTTAAAAATTAAAAAAAATTATCTTATTTTAATTTATTTTATTATTATTTTTTGGACCAATCACAGGCCGCCACGTGTTAGTTTTAAGTTAAAAAAGCGAAAAAAACCAAAACTAACGTTTTTTTAACAAAAAGGGTACGGTAGGTGTACCACTGATAAAGAATAATTGAGTAGGTGTACCATTGATAAAGGCTCGAACCTTGGGTGTACCATTGATAATTTCCCTAAAATTTTCTAAAATATTCTTTGTTTTCTATATTATTTTGTTTTAGCTCTTATTTTCGTTGATTTATTCATGTACTTTTAATTTATCCTTATGTTCTTTGAGTGCACGATGAATATTGTGTACCTGCCTGATGCACAAATTAATAATTTAAAAAGTATAGTAGTTACTCTTATTATTTTTTAATTGAGGATTAAGGAGTGGAGGGACGGTTTGTCCCTCTATCTACCCCCCATCGAAGTGACCTGGGTTCGATTCTCACCCCCCTCCCTCCTGTGATAAGAGGGGCAACCCCCATATCTTACCGTGTAAAAAAAATATTATTTTTTTACATTTCCATAAATTATTTATTCTCTATTCTTTATTCAAGACCCCTGCAATTTAAGGATTTAAATATTTATTAAAATAGGAATATAAACAAAATAAGAAGTTAGGACAAAAAATGTGCTAAGTAGTTACTCCTTACTTAGTTACTTGACCTATTATTAAGGTATGTCTCTCACAATCTCATTAGTAAATACTTAGTTACTTGACCTATTATTAAGGTATGTCTCTCACAATCTCATTAGTAAATACTAGGAGAGTAAGAATTCCATTTTTTAAGGGTGAGAATTATCTTATAATTTTACCCTATAGATATGATATATCTAACCTGATAAGTCGGACTTTATTTACGAGTTATCTATTAGTCATACGTACTCTTTAATGAAAATAAGAGTATTCCTGGTACATTTTTACTTGCTGCTTAATATGATGTAGATAAGAGAGTATTCGTGATACAACTAAAAATGACTAACTATACAATGTACTCCGTATACTACAAACATTTATACAATAAGAAATACCCCCTCTACCCATTACACCCTCCTTATGAGGTCGAGATAGTGGAGTAATGATATCATGCCCCACTTCATATCTCTTTGATTAAAGTAGTACGACTAAATCAAGATAAGTAGGCTATACATTAAAATATTACTCCCTTCGTTTTAAAATAAATTCTCCATTTTAACTTTTACACTATTTACGTTAAATTATCTCCGTGCTTTACACATTAGATTAAATATAGTTAATTATTTCTTGTTAGTTACGTCTCAATATTAATGTATAATTTTTCGAATTTTTTTTATAATTTATATTTAGAATTCTATAATTAGAGACATTTTGGTCGAAGTTTCGTGTAGGCAAATGTATCGGTCAAGCTGGGCCTTTCTCTTGGAATGAAGGGTGTATATACATCGTATATACCTGTAGATATACAGATACATATAAAAAATACGAAGTAGATTCCTACAATAAAATAATAAAATAAAAGATCCAGTGATCCACAAATTACCTGTAAATAAAAAAAATAATAAAAAAGTTTAGTTTAAGAAAGAGAAAGAGAGGCTTTGCTTTGAGAAGTTGCCCATGTAATCTTGGAAAGCAAAATCTTTCTTCCACACTCTCTCTCTCTAAAAAAATTGTCCACTTTTCTCTCTCTAAAAAAATTGCCCACTTTCTCTCTCTAAAATCCTTCGAACCCTCTTCAATGGCGGGCGTGCTTTGTAAATGCACCCCAAAGCGAAACTCCAACGGCTTCAATGAATTGCTCTTTGGTATTCGAAAGGGTCGAAACGGTTTCCGTACTCAACGAAACGTTTCTACCATTGTTCTTCCCCCTCTTTTAAAGAAGAAGTTCTTCAAATGGAAATCTGTAATGGGCAAGAATTCTCCCGTTTTCAGGTCTATTTGATTTTCAGCTCATTTTTTTTTTTCAATTTTGATTTTACTACTGTTTTAGTTTGATGGGTATAATTTGTTGATGATTATTTAGTGTTAATTTTGGATTATTGTTGAAATTATTGGGTTTCTTGAATTTTTGCATGTTTTCTTGATCATTAAGTTGAATTATTTGATAGGGTGATTTTTGGGTTTTTTTTTTGAAGTCATTGATTTGATGTGGGTTTTTTTGCATTTATGGGGTGCCTTGATAATGTATAATATGAGTTTGTTACGAAATATTTATCGGGTTGTTAAGGGCTAACTACAATCATTAATCGTGTTTCCTAAAATGGTATTTGTTTCGGGTTTTATGACAAAAATCACGCGTTGATCCGTCATTTAATATGAGCTGAACCTTGGAATCATCTGTATTGATGTTGCCTTGATGTAAAATTGTGAAATGTAGTCATTAATACTAAACTAAAATGGGGATTTTTGGTTTTCTTGAAATGATCATTAATTCTTGGCTAAATATCCAAGATTAATAAATGAGAGTTATGAGTTTAAATCTGGTGCTGGAGGGTGTTATACATGGTCTTTTTGGATAACTGAAGCTTCTAGCTGAATGTTAAGTAACTCGGTTTTTGGATAGGGATTAGATACATACTGTTAGGTTAATCTGAGACTGTAAAGATTAATATGGTCAGAGGGCTCTATTCTGAGAATATGAAGTGTATACTTCAATTTTGTATCTGGATTTTTTAGGGTTCTATCTTCGGCATAGTAGTGTGAAATGATCGATCGAAGTGAAGTTACATAGATGACAGAATGATCTTGTGCTTACTGTCTTTGTGGGGCTGTGGCTATAGGCTAGTTTGGCAACTAATCCCACAATAAGTGTCTCTTGTGGCTGGTTTTGTCACGTTAAGGAGTTAGGGTGTGTTCTCCTCATCGTACCTGGGTTTTTGAGGGTTCTATTTTTGGCATAGTGGTGTGAAGTGATCAATCAAAGTGAAGTTGATCTTGTGCATACTCTGTCTTTGTGGGCGTGTGGCTATAGGCTAGTTTGGCAACTACTCCACTCCAAAATAAGTGTCTCTTACTCCAAAATAAGTGTCTCTTGTGTGTTCTCTTCACCTAAAATTCACTTACATATGCGTATTAATATTGAACTTAATTCATTTGAACTTGTTGGCCCAAAACTTAACTCATATGAATTACTGTAATTGTGAAGCAAGCTTTGGTAGCCCTTATCGTCACTGAACTTATGTATTGGACTTATTAGCCCTGAATTTAGCTTGGCAGAACAAAATAAAACTTACATACAGTAGTTTTTTTTCCTTAATTAAGTGGAAACGAGATGAGGAAATAGAGCTTTTATCTTTTTTGTATTGTACTTTAAATTTGATTCTTGCATTGGTATTTTAAATGACAACTAATAATGGTTCAATATATTAATTTGCTAATGATATGAAATAAACTTAATTAAATTGACTAATAATGTTGATGTAACCATGGAGAAAGTACTGTATTTTGGATTGCATAACTAAGAAAAAGAGCTCACTAGTACAGCAGTTAACAATCTTTCAACTGACCCATTTTTGAAATATTAGCTGCTATTTAACATTAATACAGGGGATCTAAATGACTTGAATAGAGTTTTTTTCATGAGGCCTATATCCTCTTTCCAAGATCTAAATGACTTGAATAGAGTTTTTTTCATGAGGCCTATATCCTCTTTCCAAGAAAGTGTTTAATTTAATAATCAACATCCTCTGCATGAAGTTATTTCATATATTTACAGCAATGTGCAAGTGTTGGTGTAGTACATGTCAACACTTTGGACAATTTAGTTCTAAGTTTTACGCAGTTACAAGAATGTGCTTGTATGTAATGCAACTATATTTTACAAGATATTTACATTTTAGCAATTATACTTGCACATGTTTTAAGCTGACTTTGTTTTCCCTAATGTGCATTAAAATTTCTCAATCTAAGCTGTGAGCATATCTCACTTAACTTTCAGTCCTTCCTCCTTCCCTCTTATTTAAATTTTTTGTTCCCATGTAGCCTTGAATGTCAGGCGTCTTTACTACAGGATTGAGCAGTCATGTAAAAGAAATATGTTTGCCCTTCCTCATTTCTGGTTTAGATATTATAAATACATGTGTTTTAATGGTTGCAAATTGAAATAAAGTGGATATAAATAGTACGTGCCTGGTACTTTTAAAGCTAGTTTGGTCACTTGTGATGAAAACTAATTTTTTCCAGTGATCTACATGTTAACATGTTACAGTATGGATGCCCGAGAGAGGTCAAAATCCTTGATTTTAAAGTCATCAAAACAGAAGAGAGTGCCTGTTTTTGTGATGATGCCCGCTGATTCCTTTAGCATTGATACTCTTGGGGCTATAAGGATTAAAAGGTAAGGTCCCCTGCCCTAGTATAAGATTTTATTTTATACACATTCTTAACAAGTTTATCAGTGCTCCTTATCATCGCCTTTTACAGACTCAAGGCCTTGACCGCTTCTCTAAAAGCACTCAAGGTGGCAGGTGTCCATGGAATTGCAGTTGAGGTTTGGTGGGGAGTTGTGGAACACACTTCTCCTTATTCTTATGATTGGTCTCTTTATGAAGAGCTTTTCAAACTGGTATCTGAAGCTGGTCTGAAGTTGCACATTGCGTTGTGTTTCCATTCAAATGCTCACTTATCATCTCGACAAATAGGTTCTGTGAGCCTCCCACTTTGGATTCAAAAGGTTGCTTCACTTCCCCATAAAATGTTGCTTGACTGAAACTTTGTTTGATTTTAGCTGTTTTGAAGAAATCTTTTATGTCATCTAGTTTGTGGGAGATCCTCTTTTATATCATCAAAGTTCTCATGTCATTGGTATCCATTAGTGGATATTTATAACATCCTCTACTTGTTCCTTTATGTGTTGGATTTGTCTAGTTATGTTTTCGTAATGTCAAAGATCATGCACAATTGTAAATATATAAACCTCATTTCTTTGTCTTTCCCCCAGATTGGAGCTATCGACAGGGACATATTTTACCGAGATCGGAATGGGAATTTCTGTGACGATTATCTTACACTTGGAGTGGATGAACTTCCTTTATTTTGTGGCCGTACTGCTCTCCAATGTTATGAAGACTTCATTTTCAGTTTCCTTGACAAATTTGACTTGTTAATTGGTCATGTAATTGAAGAAATAAGTGTTGGTCTTGGTCCTGCTGGTGAACTGAGGTGATATTTTTGGCTCCTTGCCCATGAGCATCAGCCTTTTGATTCCTGTAGCTTACACGAGACTACTTGCAGGTATCCTGCTCATCCATCTGCTGATGGTCGGTGGAGATTTCCCGGAATCGGTGAATTTCAATGCTATGATAAGTACATGTAGGCCAATCTTTCAGCTTCCAAAACTTGCTATAAGCACTTTTGAATTATGTCTTTTTTTTTTTTTTTTTCGGGTAAGGTAGAATGTTCACCTATGCAATGTTATTGCAGGATGGAGGATCTCAAGATAGCTGCTAGCCAAGAAGGAAAACCTCAGTGGGGAGAAAATGGCCCACAAGATGTTGGAAGTTATAATAGCTCTCCATCTGGAGTACCTTTCTTTGAAGCTGGTCATAAAAGTTTTCTTTCTGACTACGGGCATTTCTTCCTTGTATGTACTTTTCCTGAAAGGTCATCTCCCTTATTTATATGTGTCAATATCTTCGAAAGAAATTCTTTATGCACTCTACACATGTCGTCTTGTGCTACATCACGTGAGAGCATAGTGTTTGAGTGTTTGCTCTAACAACAAGAATGAAAGATATTTTCTGGGAGTACAAGTAAATTTCCTTTCTTCAATCCTAGGCTTTGTTAGCATCACCAAAGTTGACATGGTCGGAGTTCAAAACTAAAGACTAGAGGAGTTATTTCTCTTATTCAATTATATAATGAGACATTCTTCCAGGAAAATTATTTAGTTGCCTATCTCTTTTTGCTACTAATAGTTTGTCATTACTTGGAGTCTAGTATTACTAGAAAATCGAAATGGTGTTTTAAGCACTGCCACAGCTGGAATTGAGTCACACTAATAAGCTTAAAGAATAGCTGGAAATACCATCAAATGCTTTGGTTATTGATGAAAAACTGAAGTATCCACATGTTTACGTCAATTGTCAAGAAAATAATGTAATTTTTATTTTATTTTTTATTTTTTTCTGTAGGAATGGTACAGTGGCAAACTGATTCATCACGCAGATGCAATTCTTGGAAAAGTAGCAGATATGTTGAAGAAATATCAACAAGATGATAAAACATCTGTGCTACTAGTGGCAAAGATTGGTGCAATATATTGGTGGTACCACACATTGGCACATGCTGCTGAACTTACAGCTGGTTATTACAACACCGCTCAGAGAGATGGCTATGATCCCTTAGCTTTAGTGCTGTTTCGTCATGGTGCAGCTCTACACTTATCGTAAGAGTTCTCCTGTATATACCTTTGATCTTTTACTTAGAATTTACCCCTATCCCGAGGAAATTACGCAAGTCTATCTGCGTAATTAATTGATAGCTATGTTCTTAACATCTAATACTTCTCCCTTAGTTGTCTGTGAAGTTTCTAGAGGAATTGCTTGAAAATATTTAGTTTTCTGAATCAGTAATAATGCCACTAATCTATCATCAATCCATTTTTGGTTAAGCTTTACTTTATAATCTATGTGCTTACCCTTGAAAGATTCTTTTTAGGTGCCTTGAAATGACGGACCGTGATACACCACCAGGTTATTTTTGCAGTCCAGAAGGATTACTACAGCAGGTAAACATTTTTTTCTTTCATTTCTCTTCAAGTTATTTTGTCCGAGTGCATCTCCATGTTTCTCATAATCTGCTTCCTGCCTTCCTTTCTATATTGTTCTTTTCCTCTTCCTTTCTCTCTGATCTCTATGTTAGGAGTATGGTGGAGATTTGTGAGATAGTTGCAGCTGTTGTGAAAAGTTAAACAAAATGTCGCTTACCCCCCCCCCCCCCCCCACACACACACACACAAAAAAAAAAAAGTAGAAAACCCCTTTCTTCTCAAGTATGGAGTAGGTCATAGCTTGATTGCGTTGGTAAGCCAGACCAATCTCAAGATCTTCACTAATTACTGAAAGGCAGTGTGGATAGCTTAAAATGAACTATAACACATTTTTTTTTTCCAGAACCAATGACATCTTTACATACTCCAGTTCTTTCGTTCACGAGATCTCGTAGTCCACTGACTTATCTTTTTGAGCTTATTGGCAATGTTCTCTTTGACTTAGGATTGTTCTTCAATTTGACCATCTTAGCTTCTCACTGCTATCACTTTAGTTTCACTTTGATGAATAATTATGTTTAAGGAATGAAATAAGAGAGAGAATAGCAGCACTAGCATATATTTCGTGAATAAAAACTAGTAAGATTTTGCTCATTAAACAAATTAATTACCCCCAATTTTAGCATCGCACTTGCCTTAGGATGGAATCTTGATCTATAAGTCATCCTAGATAGGTGTTAAAATGTACTACTCATCAAGAAGGCTTATTGAGTATAGACATCTTGTTCTGTAAATCAGAGGGCCTTGCGATATCTTGGTGTGGGAATAGATCAGATGCTTTTGAGTCATTGCATGGCTTTGAATGTATTAATAGTGAAGGCCTAACAATATACCAATTTGAATGCAGCTTCAAGCTGTCTCGAAGAGAAGGACTATAAGTTTGACAGGAAGGAACTGTAGTGATCGCTGTGACAAGGTAAACCATCTTGCTTCAAATCAATGCTTGATTTATTGTGCATGTGTGTGCAACTGCACCCAGTGTGATTGGGGGGAGAGGAGGGGGGGGGGGGGGAGTCTTTGGTTCTATGACAAACTAACAGGGTGTTGCTGCAAAGTAATGTCTTTAGTCGTTCTAGAGTCCTAGGTCTTAGGTCCTTTAAAGGGGAAAGGAAATTTGAATGTTGCCTCTCATTTTTATGATTTGAATAAATAGCAAGCTACATGATGTTTGTAGTTGTCTAAAATGCTCTCTTCTTTTACTTCAGGAGTTATTTTGCATTAGTACTTGTTGATATGACAGTTTGGATCAGACCTTGGGGTAGGTAGGAATTGTGGGCTTATTAACCTATAGTTCACATGCTGTTTATCCCGTTTGGTCCCAGCTCGGCTGTACTTTTACCAAAATTTAGTCTTTTAGTACACTAGCTGAGCTGCCTGGATAAAAAATTAGGCATGATTTTACGAGTGTATTTATTCCCTTCTAGTGTACTCGTGATACAATGTTAGAGATCTTAAACCACTAGGCTGGAAATTGTTTATATTCAAGAGTCGAGACTCAAATTTCTGCCTCCTGACTTGTTTTCCCTGCTCTCTCTCTCTCTCTCTCTCTCTCTCTCTCTCTCTAGCTTTTTCTTTATCTCCAACTTATATTCAAATCTATTGCTTTATATTTAAATAGATGAAACCTCATTTTGCAGGCTGGGCTGGAGCAAATACAAACTAATTGCACAGAGGCAGAGATTTTAAGATCGTTCACTTATTTCAGATTGAGCAGCAACTTTTTTAATCCCGAAAATTGGTACAACTTTGTTCCCTTTGTGAGAAAAATGAATGCTGAACTGTGACACACCATTCAACCATTCAATCTTTTGTTGTTAAGGAATCAAATAGATCATAGAATAGCTTTCACTGCCCTGGAGTTTTTGTCAGGCGGGGTAATTTGATGGTTGTTCATCATACTGACTTCATCAACTTGTATTCTTCATTCTTTACAGATGTAAATACTAAATAGCACTCCAATGTGATAGTAGTTACAGCTCTAATTGTTCTATAGGAAACTATCAGCTGTTCTAGGGTACTTAATATACTCTCTTATAGATGTACGGAGTATAATCTCCTTATGTAATGAAGCTGACTATTGCGTTACACTTAGCCTTATATACAGCCTTACGGGAAAAGGGTTTATTTTTGTCTGTCATATCAGCTGGTGCAATAATCTTTACTCCATATTTGCTATCGATACAATTGATCTCGTGTTTCCGATTTGTATGTGGAATATGGTTTCAATCACTTCCACATGAAACTTACAGATGAATTTCTTTTGACCTTGGTGGATGAAGCATCCATTAACTTGATCTGCATGCAGTTTTGGGTTCATTAAACAATTTATTGTCATTTGTTTTGATCTTGGTATGTGTATATGAAAATCAATCTTGCCTTTTCATTGTTCCCAAATAATTGTTTTATTTTTACTCCGTATTATCTTTCTAAATAACAGTTTCCAAAAAAATTAGATAGATTGTGTTCATTGCAGTATTGAAGCTTAATTTTTTTTTTTGGCAAGTCATAAGATTTTACAGTGGCATGAGTTTCTTAAAAGGGGGCTGTTTTTGAGGACTTATCCAATATTTGTGGCTGTTTCTAACAACAATAGAATGTGGATATTGTCAGCTAATGTGTTTGTAACAATTAAATTTTGGATCTGAATTCTGAATTCGTCAATGGCTGTGATACTTACTGGATGAACTTAGGGCTTTTCCTGAATTTTTGTTGAGGTTTTTCTATGTAGGCACGTTTTATGGAATTATGGAGCCTAAACGACACAACTTAATATTTTGACATCATCATTGTCCAAATATTAAAATGGCTCTTGGATAACCCAAAGAAACTAGTTGAAAGGATTAATTCATTTTCTTATTAGACCGTTATCAATCTTAGACTAAATCTCATATACTTCATATATAATTGAATAATTGATATGTCGTTTGAGAATCTAGTGTGAACTTTTAAAAGGTTACACAACATCAAACTTGCATATGTCTCATTACACGTCCCAAGTATATTTTCTTTTTATCTTCATCTCTGCTCCATCACTCACTAAACTTGTATCTATCACCATCTAATTGCATCTGGTGCAAGGCAAGTATCTACCATTTATCGAACTCATTCAAATAACATCCCCAATTTAAGTGAAAATTCTAAGGTGATCAATCTCATTTTGATCACCACAAAATATCCTACGTGACAAGTTCATGACCACAAAAAACAGTGATCCCTCTTTATTTTATCTTTCAAAAACCATTTATATAATTTTTTAAAATTGTTAAAATTAAACTCCGTATTAAAAAATGAACTCCCCTCCCACCAGCAACCCCACCCCCGCCGATGACCAGTGACCCACCCTAAACCCCCGACTCAACCCTTCCCCCGGCACGGACGACCCAATTGGCCATCAGCACTATGGTGTACACACGTTCACCTGCACTCGCACACACAAACACACACTGCCACGCCCCTATAAAAACAAAAAGAAAAAGTACTAAAACGAAAAGGGTCGACATGGCCATTTACTTACCCGTAGCTTCAAAGTTCATCTAATATGATCTTTGGCCAAATAACAACACAAAAATCACTCTCCATTTCTTCAAAAACCAGCTGCCAGCCATGGCAACAGCTTATCTACTCTCCTCACCTTCTTCCTTCAAATTTATCCCCAAAACCCATTACTCCACCTCACTTCTTCCTCTCAAAAATCCCTCATTTCTCTCATTAACAACAACTCCCACTACCCCAAATCCCTCCAAAAGGCTAATCCTTTGCAAATCCAAGAAAAATGATGAAAATATTGATGCCCCAGATCGATTAATCTCAGCAATTTGCTATTTTTACCCCCTTTTTGATGGGATTCAATATGGAAAATATGTAATTACCCAATTCACCCCTCTTCAACTCATTATTCAGCCTCTAATTCCAGCTATTAAGGTCTTCAAAAGCTTCCCACTCAATGGTGTTTTGGTCTTTTTTACCCTGTATTTTGTTGTTGTAAGAAATCAGAATTTCAGTAAATATGTGAGGTTTAATACTATGCAAGCAATTGTTCTTGATATTCTGCTGATTTTTCCTGATCTTTTGGAGAGAAGTTTTAATCCAAAAGATGGGATTGGGTTGGATTTGATGATGAGTTTGGATAGCACTGTGTTTTTGTTTTTGTTGGTTAGTTTGATTTATGGGTCTTATTCTTGTGCTCTTGGTCAAGTGCCTAGATTGCCTATTGTTGCTGAAGCTGCTGAGAGGCAAGTCCTTTAAATTTCACTTCACTAAGATTATTATTGTTGTTTTTATTTAATTATGTTGTTTATAATCTTCTCTGTTACAAAAACTGTATCAAATTATTGTATACTTTGGAATTATTATGAACAAGGGTAGTTTCTTTTGTATCATTGATATTTTGATATAGATGAATAGAATTAGAATTTGGGAATTGCCTTTTGGATGAAAAATATAATTTTTTATTTCAGCTTTGGATGAATGAGCATTACTTGAGGTTTGTTGTTGGTGCATCTTATGAACTATGCATACATTTCATTGTTGGTTGAAACCTCGACTCGAGAACGTAGCTTAGTCTTTGTTTGATTGACAACAAAATATATTGGGAAGTGAAGGTTCCTAGGCTGTGTAACAAAGTGAGTTATTTGGTTAGAAAAATTGTAGGAAGTTTGTAAACTTCCTAAGAAATGACACTACATGGGAAAAGTAACTTCATTTAGTCATAAATCCTGTTTATAGTGCTTCTTACTTGATTAGCCTAGTGAACTTCGGCTTAAGTCTATAGACCCCTTTTACATCCTTGATCCATCATAGTAACCTAGTTACTATGTCATGTTGCAATAACTCTCATGTCCATGGTGTTTTCAGTAGCTGCTAGCACGCAACATGCTAGTGAGAGAACCATTTATTCAGCTGCTAGCAATAATTGTTGCTGTTCTTCAATGTTGGCATATTCTTCATATTTTGTACTTGATTTGGTATTCAAGCTTAGGATAACCTGGCAATATCCAAGGAGCAGGGGCACTAAGGCATTAGCCTGACTAGTTGCTACTAACTCAGCTCCTTTTGCCATTCCGCGCTTACACTATTTCTGCCTCAAGTGGGCAGATCATCAACTTTCTTACCAAGCATCCCAATTAATGCAATTTCCGATGCCATCACCAATGTCTCCATCACTGCACTAGCATAGGTGATTACACATTGACCATCACATGTGAGTCTTTCTTAGAAAGCAAGTCCCGTCTTTGATCATTACCCTATTTGTAACATATCTCTCTCTATGTCCTAGACTTTCTTCGAGCAAGTGAAATGCTGCCTCATTTTGTTTTCAAATACCCTAGAGATTATTGTGTTGGGAGGACAATGACTGCCTTGCCTTTGGCTATTCAAGGCACATTGACATAACTGACATCAGAGACAGAAATATGGTAATTCCTGTTAAGAACATCAGTTACAGTGAAGTAGCTGCTTTGTCGGATCCTTTTAGGAATTCCAAATCTCTGATATAAATTAATGGCATGCTGTCAGTTCCACAAGCCCCACCAGACCAGATACTGTTTTGACAATTATTGTTGACTGATGACTACTATATCATTAAGCTGCTAGTGTAGAAGCTGTCTAACAAAAAAGCTTAGATGATCTACACAGAAAACTGTAATGACCGTGTTTTGCCAGAAACAAATTTTCCCTTGAGTAAATATTCTGAGGTTTGAGTAACTACAAAAAAGAATTAATTTGGTCTGTTGTTGTATCATGCACTGCCACTTTACCCTCCCTTTTATATGTTGAGCAAGGTAATTAGCTTATAGCTTCTAGAGTTTTTCTACTGATGTGCTTGACAATATTGAGAATGTTGGTGCCTAGGTGGGATGTGGGTCTAAAGACCAAGGGTTATCTCAGCCTGAGTTGTCTGCAGATGGCATGTTCTAGAAGTGGGCGGTGTTGTGGCCTTGTTGCATAAAGTTCTGTTTAAGGCTTAATAAATATGGCATTTATCCATAGAATTCTCCTTCCCAGTTACTACAGTAACTGGCTAACTGGTGATACATTTTTTAGATTTATACTATCATCTTTTCATCTCAAGCCATTGCTTTAGTATTCTGTGCTCAGGGCCGGCCCTTACCCTGTGCAGCCTGTGCGGCCGCACAGGGCCCAAATTTGGTTGGGGCCTCAATTGTTTAAAGAGATAAATAACATATGTTGCAATTAACATTGTTACATACTAGCTATGGTCTGGTGGTTTAGAGACCTTAACTATTTTGCGGGGATCAGAGGTTCGATTCCCACTATCAACTTTTAAACAACGATTTTTTATTCTGGTATAAAAATAAGCCGCGTAGAGAAAATTCATGTACCAAATTTTATACTCCAATTTTGCACAGGGCCTCCAAAAAGTTTGGGACGGCCCAGTCTGTGCTGTGAATCTTGATTGATTAGTTAGGTTGATATTAAACTACGAATAGCCCTATTTTGGATTACCACTGTGAAACATACAATAGTTAAGATATGATATTCTGATAGCTAAAGGAAAAAGGTCTAACTGTGGGAATACTTTTTTCAATATTCTGTAAGTGCTAGTGTGTCAATTTGCAGACTTGCAGCTAGTTACATGTGTGTATGCGTTATACGAAAGTTTATACCTCGGATGTTTTATTTCTGGTAAGGAAAATTGATTGTCAAGCATAGTAAGTGGCATCCATCTGCTAAGAGTTAGGGACCTCGGGCATGCCTTGAACCTCTATGTTCTTCTCAACTACTTCGGAGCAAACAAGCTACATCACCTCCTCTTCAATTCTACCTGGCCATCACTCTATTCTTTAACAATAGTCTTCTGTTCTTATTCTTGTCAACCTTTGTGAACTGCACACAGTTTTGAGGTGAAAATGTGTCCAGGTTTTCTGCCAAAGAGAAGATTGATGGATGAAGAATCGCATATTTTGTCGGTTTGATCAGAGAAGCCCTCTATGATATCTCTGTAATACCTGTGATTGGAATCACGTCCTCCCCACGAGGCCAACCGAAACACCACAATGCTCTGGCCAATTACATGTGAACATATAGCGGTAAACTCTTTGCTGATAAGCCTTTAAGCACTCTGGCAGGAAAAAAAAAAAAAATTACTGGGAGAGGCTTTACAATGAGATGCAGTTATCTGATCATTCTGATAGGCTTAAGATTTTCTGCCGGCAAGATTAAGCAATGCGAAGATTCACCGCGTAGCTGTAATCCTGTCAATAAAAGATACATTTGCTACTCTTCCATGGTTTGCAGCGAATCAAGTTCTCATGTTGCAAGTTCTCAAAGCAGAGTATGCTAAGAAAACTATGATATTGGAGGCTGAGGTAATTACATCCTGGTTCATGGAGACATTAAGAAATGATTCACCCATAGCAATTTATAAAATTGGTTCAGGGACAAGCCCTACTGCTAGGGTGATGCGAAGCCAGTCGGACTCAATACATTAAATCTCGTAATTTCAATGTCACTAGGTATATGTCTTCACCACTAGACTAAGCCAAGCTTTTTTTTTGCAAGCCTGGTTCGAACACGAACATAAGTTATTGAACTGGAGAAGTAAATACGTTCCGTAAATCAATAATTTGGGTCTAATCTAAATGTTTCGTTTTGGTGTATAATTTTGACTTTTTACACATTCTATATTGACTTTGTCCATGTCTAGTTACTACTTTGCTAATAGACGAAGTATAAGTTAGTTGTCATTATTAAAGTTGTAGGGTTAGTTTTAATGTATATTTTTAAAATTTTTCTTTTTAATAATTTTTATCAAAACATAATCAAAGATAATACCATTAAGTAGTGTGTTAGCAATCATGTCCCTTTAAAACTATACATTGTGGAGAAGCAAAAGAATGAACTAAAGTTGCACATGAGTCAGGCTAGCACGAGGGGCAACTAGATTTGACACGAAAACGGTCTAACCCAGCACAAGCTTTGACATGGAACGAAAGACACTGCTGCATGGGCCTTTTTACAAACTTTGGCAATGAGCTCGATAGGCCAACTTGCGTGTTGGTATGCCTTTTTTTTCCATAGAGTCGGGTCGGGTTGTGCATAAGCTTCATTTATAAATGACCCGCTCGAACTAAGCACGACACGTCTTTTTTTTTTTGGCCCGTTCCAAGCACGACTTGCCTAACAACAAGACCTATTGAAACAACATGTGGGTTTGCATGTCCCAGCTCTAATCAAAACTATTTACCAAATTGAAATTTGGGCCTCTTATTAACTATAAAACTGGGCCAAATAATCTAGACCAAGTGTCAACCAAAGGTCATGAACCATCTACCAAGTCAAAAATATCAAGATAACAGAAACAAAGAAACTTCTAGTAGTAACCAATAATTCCCAAAAATCCCTAAATTCCCAATTTCTCTCTCAACTTCATCCCTCAATTAGAGAAATGGGGAGCTCAACAAGGAATGGATCGTTGAAGCAAGCAGCAATAGTAATGGGTGCACTCGCTTTTGGATGGTTAACCATCGAGCTTGCTTTCAAACCATGGCTCGATAAGGCTCGAGCCGCTATCGACAAATCGGACCCTGCTCATGACCCTGACGATGACGACGTCGTTTCACCCGATGCTCAAGCTGCCGGCGTTGAGGATGATAATGATGATTAACTGTTTAACATTGTTGGGTTTTGTTTTTCTAATTAGGGATTTCAGTTGGAACTTTTGATGATAATGTTATCAACTTTATGCAATAATGCTTTAGATTTAATGTTATAAATAATTATGATAAGTTTTTAATTTAGTTTGTATTTATTTTAATTGCTCAGTTTTTGAGTTTATTTTGATTTTTTCTAACAAATGTGAGCTGGAAGCATGAATGGTCAATAAGCTAAAGTTGCAAACTCGCAATTTTGATCTTACACCCGAAGCTATAATAATGATTTTATAGCTTTTGCCCAATGAATACTCATTTCGTTTCAAAGGTTTGCCTAATTTTTTTATGCTTAAACTAAGGTATGCAATTTCTAAGCAACTAAAACAAGCAATTGGAAAAAGGGTCACATTTATTTGTCTTGTCTTCTTTGCAGGACTAAAGATAGGATATTACTAGTTCTAGTAGTGATGAAAAGATAATATCTATTAATAAGATTTAAAAAAATGTCATTAGAAGCCATTTAGGTAATTATTTTAGGTTTCATTGTTGAAAGAAAATTGCATTGATAAACTCTAGCTTAATGGGGCGATTAATGGTTATGTTGTCGACGACACAATTTTTGGCCTTAGGATTGATCTGTTCAACTTATTTTGACCGAGCCCTTGTTTAGTTCACCTTACAAAAATAAGTTCAGTTCACTTTACAAAAATAAGTTCAATTCAGTAAAAATAATTTCAGTTTACTTAAAAATCAGTAACTCTAAAGAAGAAATATAATATAGAATCAGTAAAAAATAATTTCAGTTCAACAAAATAAATTTCAGTTCAGTAAAAATAATTTAAGTTCAGCAAAAATAATTTCAATTCAGTAAAATTAATTTCGGTTCAGCAAAAATATAATGAAGTGAACGGGACGGCCTGATTTCAAAAAATTAAGTGCACACAAGCTTAGACAAAATGAATTTTGCTACAATGATTATAAAATGTGGCACAATTACAAATCCATGTTATAGTGGAAGTTACTTAGATGAAGTTTAATTTAGTTAAAATAGTTGAATAAAACAAACTATATATAGCATCTTGCTAATTAAGTGATTAAATATCAAAATTTTAAACCGTTTGAAAATGATTTTTTTGTTGATAGTGGGACAAGTGGAAGTTTCAAAGAAGTGTTACAAAGAAGAATAATCTCTTAATAATGTGTCATATACAAAGTAATAAATTGATACATTACGTCCAAAACTTAACGTAACTAAAATAGTTATATCCGCACGTTTCACAATCTGGATAAATTGCGTGTTCAAGACCGAGTGTTCACGGGACAAACATACAATAACGTCAAATATGAAGATATAGCAAAAACTTGTAGTATTAATTAGTAACCACAATTTCAAATTATAAGCAACAATTCCAAATTTCCAAAATCACTTCAATTTCTTACTCTGACTTGATCAACTAGGGAAGATGACTGAAGTTCATGTGAAGCAAGCAGCAATTGTAATGAGTGTGCTTGCTGCTGGGTGGTTAGCCGTCGAGCTGGCTCTTAAGCCGTGGCTCGGCAAGCAAAGAGCCTCTTCGGACAAGTCTGAACCTAGTGCAGCTAATGAATCTAGTGCGGCTAATGTTGAACCTACTGTGGCTAATGACGAACCTGCTGTGGCTAATGACGAACCTGCTGTCAAAGAAGCTGCTACAACCGAAGCTCAAGCCGATGACGCTGGTGATGATGATCCAACTACAAGCAGTTGATTTTCCAGTAGTCGGCTTAGCGGCTGTGTTAATTTCTTTTAAGCCTTTTTCAGTTTAATAACTTAAATTATCATATCATCTTATTGATCTATGTACTATTTCATGATCCAAAAAGAAAAAAAAGAATTATTATGTACTAAGTTATATATTTTGATGACATGAGTAATAATAATAAGTGCATGATTTCATTGGTGACTTATTGTCATTGTCTATTGCCCAATTTTGAAAGTTTGCAATCTAACCAGTGTGGATTGAAAAAATACATTTACATTTTCGTTTGTTTTTTGTTTTTTTTTAATTGCAACATATTGACATTCACGATTTTCAATATAAGTTTAAACATTTGTATCTTACTTACTTACTGTAATTAATTATCTGTTGCATGAGTTTTATTAGTAGGTTATTATATTTTGACTTTTAACATTGTTTATTCTTTATACTTTATAATAATTATTCGTTATATATAAAAAGTGAAAATATAATTATGTTGAATACGTTGAATGTCTATAATTTTTACAGCTAAATAATATTATTAAGGATAATAAAGTTATTACAACAAACGTGTCAAGTCATAGTGAAATAACTTAAAAAGGGCAGGAAGTAACTCGTTGCTTATGGAATATTATCTATGTACTTGCATGTCATCTAAAAAGTTATCCAATCCTTTATACTTCATATAAATTGAAAATATGACTTGTTCATAAAGATAGGAGAATTTGTTAAATTATAATCCATAGTCCATTAGTCCGTATCCTATATATCTTTCTTGGAGGAAAATAAATAAATCTTTCATAGGAACTATGATTATTATAACAAACTTATCCAATCATTATAACTACTCCTATATATATATGTTCCCCTAACACGTAAAAAGTTGTATTAGGGTTTTATTTTAGTGAAACAAAATTAAATAACATAGTTTCAAGAAATTAAGAAGAAATAATGGTGAATTCCGAAGAAAGAAAGAAAATTTGTGTAACAGGTGCTTCTGGATTTATTGCTTCTTGGATCGTTAAGCTCTTGCTTGATCGTGGTTACGTTGTCAATGGCACCGTTCTTAGCCTAAGTACGTGTCTTTCTTTCGATTTCCCTTTCTCTTTTGTCATGTACACCTAGAAGTAATTGTCACGTTGATAATGTAATTTAAACTACTCTTCTTGAATAATTATTCTTGATTACCTAGAAACTTATATTTTGCGATTTTAAGTGTCATCAAGAATTGATTAATTGTCGCGTTAGTAGTGTAAATTTAAATACTAAATCAACAAGTAGCTTATGTTATGCATGTTGTTGTACAGATGATCCGAAGGAAGTACATCACTTGCTGACTCTTGATGGCGCGAATGAAAGACTCCACTTGTTCGAAGCCAATCTTATGAAGGAAGGATCCTTTGATTCTGCTATTCATGGATGTGATGGTGTTTTTCATACTGCGTGTCCTGTTAAACTCGACGTCTCCAATCCTCAGGTTAACTACTATCCCAAGTTTCTTAAGTGTTTATTTCATACAAGTTACTTATTCTAAATTCGTCGTGTTTTTAGGCTGAAATGATTGATCCAGCAGTAAAAGGAACACTAAATGTCCTTGCATCTTGTGCTAAAGTTCCAAGCATCAAACGCGTAGTTTTTACATCTTCGATGGCTTCTGTTCTGTGTACTGGTAGACCTCTGACAGCTGAAACTGTAGTCGACGATACATGGTTTTCTGTCCCAGAACTCTGTGAGAAATCACCAATGGTTTGTGCACTTACTTGCATTCATCTTATGTTCTTGATGTGATTGAATAGTGAACATAACGAAAAGACTAACTAAAACTTGATTCTGATATGCAGAAGTGGTATCTGCTGTCAAAGACATTCGCCGAACAAGCTGCTTGGAAATTTGTCAAAGAACATGACATCGATATGGTGTCAATAAACCCAGGAATTGTTATAGGTCCTGCATTGCAGCCAACAATCAATGCTAGTGTTGCTGCCATTCTAAACTTGGTCAATGGTATGAACATTCTGTTTTTAGGCTTATTATTCTGTTTTGGTCAATGATCAAATCTGTCTTTTATTCGAGTAAAACTGATGTATAGCATGATTTTTCCTGTTTCTCTCTTGAGTTGAAGAGATTAAGGGCTTAAGTATGTAAAGATTGCACCATTTAAACTTTGACAACTTTTGCTATTCGAGTTTATTGCAGGCTCAGAAACCTATGATAATGGAACATATGGATGGGTTCATGTCAAAGATGTAGCTGAAGCACACATTCTAGCATTCGAAACTCCTGCAGCAAGTGGGAGGTATCTGTTGAATGAAAATGTTCATCATGTTTCGGAACTTGTGAAAATCTTAAGGGAACTTTACCCTGATCTTAAAGTCCCTAACAAGTAAGTTCGATCTTCTTATCTGCATTACTAAGGACTTACACTGTATCTCAATTCCTATCTAGTATCTATTGTTATTTCGCCTTTAATAAAATCCGTTCATGCACACTTCTAGGCCTTCGAATGACAAGCCTTTCAATCCAGCTTACAAAGTTTCTAAGGAAAAGGTGGAAAGCTTAGGCATCAACTATATTCCCCTGGAAGTCGGCCTTAAGGAAGCTGTCGAATCCTTGATCGAAAAGAAGTTCATTAGTGCTTAATTTTGCTGTTTAATTTCATTGCTATTATGTAATTTGATAGAGTCTACACATTATCGACGCATACATTTCTGGACTTTATATAATCTTAGCTTCAATTGCATAAGTACAATAATGTTCCAACTTTGATGTGTTTTAGTGAATTCTAAATTTCTAATTATACATGTACTCTAAAATTTATTATTGCAGAGGGATCTTTATCAATTAGATCAGATTCATATTGTGATTATTATCCTGTTAGCCTATACTACTATACAACATAACCTTGGTTAGCCCAACTCATGTAGTCATGTTATTCCATTTAGGCTATATACCTCAAGTTCGCCGAGCAACGCCACGGCTTGCACTTCTCTCCCATAAATGACTTTTTTTTTTTTACTTTTTTGTACTCTCAAAACTGAATTCAAATCGCGTGCCATGGCTCAGTAAATCAGTAGCTATATGATTGTACATTTGTGTCGCGGTGTTTCAATGCCATGCTAGATGTATCTCTTGCTACTTGTAACAAAAAATAAGAGCCAAAGTGTCCTAGAATCTACTTACGAAGTATTTCACAAGGAAGAAATGAAGACTTTTTTTAGCAGAAAAGTGTGGATCAATGGGCTACCAACTTCCTACACCATTTTGGGCCAGAAGCTGCTAATTCCGTAACGATTGGCCCATATACTTATATCAAAGCTCATACTAAGAACAACGTTCTAAGTTTAAAATTATGATGTAGTTTTGTTGCACTATATCCTACCAAATATCACATGTAAGTGTCCTACATTGAGTAAAGAAGAGAGAATCAAACACTTTATAAGGCTGATGGGCTACTTCTCCTATTGCCATATAGTTTTGAGATAAAACCTCCTTTGCACTTGTGAAGTGGTCTTTCTCTTGGTTTGTAGGTGTAGCCTAAACCCATATTGTAAAAATTTAACAAATATGTAAAAAAAAAAAAAAAAAAAAAAATAGAAAGTACTTCATAGGAGCATCCAAAAAATTAAAATTATGAATTATGAAAAATCTATAAAATAAAAATAAAACATAAATAATAAAGAGCCTTGATTCATATCAATTGATGAAGTAAATTGACAAATAAGAAGACATTGTCGCATCAATATATTAACAGTCAAAAAGTCACGAAGAAATTAAACATTTATTAGGTATAAGAGTGTAAGATGTGCAAATTATAATACGAATTACTTTGTATAAAATAATCGCACATAGCTCATGGAAGTTAGAAATGATATGCTAATCGCCGACCATTGATAACAAAATTTTCGGTTGCCTCAAATACATGAAAGAATACTCGTAAAAACGTTGTCCTTTCTACAAGAAAATTTATTAGAGGGAAGATTGTAATAAAATGACGTAGTTACCCATTAGCAAGAACTAGGCATGCTCAAGGAATCAATCTTAACAATGTAACATCCACAAATTCTTGTTCTTGTACAAATTAAAGCAAGTTTAAAATATTTAGGGGGCCTCCTTAAAATCTGATTCATGATGATTCGTTTTCGAGGTGGGTCGTTATGGATTTTCGTTGATATTGACAAGAATCACAATATTAAACAAATTGTCTAGCAATTTCAAAGCAATTAACAACTACTCATGTATGTTAGGACCATGAAAATAATGAGAGGGAAGGATAACTCTAGTGGTTAGAGCTTCTCTCTCAATTTCAGGAGGTGATGGGATCAATTTTTACCGCGCTGTGGCTCTCTAAACACCATAAAAAAGGGATCACTTTGTTTTTATACTTTTAGTATTTGCTGACATTGAAATTGAAAATAATTTTCGTATGCTTTAGACATACAATTATGTTAGAATTTATTGGCCCCCGAAAGAAAAGGTTTCAAGATCCACCAATGTATACGATGATTATAATGATATAGATTTGCAAATCACATATTTAGATACAAGAACATAACTTAAAAAAAAATATATATATATATTTTTCAGCATTTGAAGCACAAACTCCACCACTTCAAACTTGACGCGAGCACGGATTGATTTTCAATGTCCTCAAAAATCTTTCCAAGTAGAGACATCTGCAGTTTGTGTTGATGTTCTGATTGAAGGGTTGATGACAAAGTCAAAATTCATATGAAACTGAATTGGGAAGAAGATCCTGAATTATGAAACGTGAAATGAATTGAGCATGTCTACTTCCTCCCAAATTAATCTATCTTCACTTTCTTTTAATCAATAAATCAGTAATATTTAAACTTATATGGAATATGTATATAAATCATGCCAAAATTACGCATTGATGGATATAAATATTTCTAACACCCTCATGTCATTCATTGGTTTTTGTCTACTATATAAAGTATGGTGGAGTGACAATTAATATTTGCTTATGTTTTTTTTTTTTTTTTTTAAAGAGCTTATGGTATCTTCTTTTTAAATATGAACTAGTGCATATGTTTAAACTTTATAGTATTAATGTATCATTCGTATCCTTCTCGTGCAAAATAATACAGTACTAGATTTTATATTTGGTAACTAAAAATCAACTACCGCCCATTTAAGAATTCGATACATGTGGAGAGAGGGAAGGAAGCAACATAAGTTTTAGCAAAATCAATTAGAAGACTCGAATCTAGGAGCTCAAGATCATCAATTTATTCTTTAACCCCATAAAAATCAGTAAAAAAATTCCCAAGTTCCAAACTTATAACGGTCGAAAAAAAAACAAAAGATGAAATCTTCAATCTTAACCGTCGAGGGCCCACGAAAAGTCGTCGGTGGAAGGACAACTCGATTTATTTTATTTTTAATTTTTTATAATTTAATTTTTAATTTTGTTTTGGGTGAAAAATGACAAAGTGGCTTTCTTAGATTATTCTGTCAAATGTGGACAATACTCTTGTTGAGTTAGGGACCCACCAATGGACCTTTCTACTAGCTCATCTCATGGTCCATTCTTTTTTAAGTTGTGGTTAATTACTTGATTTGGACTTTAAGTTGGCTCGATGTATAAAGGTTACTTGGAATTTTGGTTGGGGTTTTGGGTTGAATGGTAGATCCGATATTATTAGAGTTAAAATTTAATTGTTTCTACTCTTAGATTATTACAAATCAAACAAAGGTCACATAATATTATAATAATATATTAAGATTAAGAGCGGTATATATTGAGACAATTTTAACAAAAAAATTGCATTTAAATGAACGTAAAAATGTAACATTTTGTAAAATAGAAAGAGTACTTTTCCAATTGAATTGATGTTAGCCTTTGTTTGAGATAAATTAAGCAAAGCAACCAAATAGAATTAGATTGGACTAATGGAATTATGTGAATTTTAGCAATTATTATCTGACTACGATACCATGTTAAAGGATCAAGCCAACCAAAATTTTAAGCTAATGGTTTGAGACATATGAATATGTTTTATACTCTATCAGTTGTCAGTTGAGTACAATTAAGGAGATGAGATTACTATATATATTATTGCAATGCTTGAATTAAATGAAGGTTAAAATGTATATATGTGATTATATTATGTGCAAGCAATAAGGATCTTTTTTTTTTTAATTACTCCTAATTATAACGAGTATTTTTAGAATGGAAAAGTTTATTTGAAGTACGTGAAACTAAGAAATAAAGTAAAGTGAATCATCAAAATGCTTTGAAAATAACTCTACCAATGAACTTAATTTAAACTAACTCAATGCGAAGTAACTAGGCATTAAAGTGAAATAATTCACCTCACTTTGCATTCATAGCAATACTTCATTCTCGACTTTATTCAATATATATTGAATAATTTGCTTTACTTTAAGTTTCAGATCATTCTAGTAAACTCATGACAAATGCATACAAATTCTCATTCATGCTTTTATACAATCATATAAATTATGTCAACCGTTACTTTATATTAACCAAGTACCCCAAGTACCCCTTTCGTATCATAATACTCCGTAATTGATACACGATTTTTTTTATATATATATAATATATACACTTTGATTATAGCCTTTTGCTATAGAGTACTATATTAAAAACAAATGTTATCATGTACAATATAGTTAAATACGAAGTATATAATAATATAAAGTTTCATAATATCATAATTTTTATAATTTTTTCTTTATTTAGGGCCAAATTTGCGTATTAACAAGTGTACCAAATTTAATCTTATCAATTATTATGAATCAAAGATAATAAAACAATAAGATAAACGCAGATTTCCTATCCAACCCTGTCCTCTTATTATCGGTGCTTGTTTAAGTAATTATAATTACTTTATTTTTACATTTTTAAATAAAAGTATCTTTGATACATCAAACTTATTTTTTATTTGCTTAAACAGCAGGATGGTAGGGATCACCTTTTTGATAAAATTCTTAAAGACAACAAAACGATAAAGAACGCAATTAGGTGAATTTGGCTTCTTCTAATCAAAATATGTACAAATATAAATGTATGATATAATAAGTTCACTTTCTTACTCATGATTACCTAAAAAGTTCCTAATCCTAGTGTTTGTAATAATGTATATCACCTGGCTTTTAACAATAATGTATTCAATTAATCCACTTAACTTATAACTAACCAACATGTTACTATACATTTAATCATCAAGCAAATTTAAAGAACCTTAAATAATGAACCAAGACAACTAAATCAATCTTGCAATAATCTTTATAAAGTTTTCATTCATGAGATTCTTTTATAAATTTACACAGATCGATCAATGTCATTAATACTCGTAAGAGTCATAACAAGAGGATTATATAGCTAATTAACACGTACATAATCAGGCAAATTAAAAGAACCTAAATTAATCAACCAAATCTTCAATAATCTTTTTTGAATTTTCAGACTTGAGATCCATAATCTACAATCTACACGCATAGATCGATGTCATTAATATTCATAAGAGTCCTAACAAGAAGATCGTATCTACTTGCTTAGGGCAGGGGCAGGGCAGCACAAAAGATGAAAGCTAAAAGAGAAAAAAACAACCTTTATGCTATACTTGTGGTGGAGTGTTTTATTATATTCTTTTTGTTTTTTTAGGGTACTCTTTAAATTTATGGCCTTGATTTCTGTTTAAGATGCCATTTCCACGTGATTTTGAGTAGTTTTTACTGTACTTTCCGAATCCTAAATCTTTTCTTTACAGTATATTAGTCAGCTTTGTTGGTTGGAGGCTTGGAGGTTTAATTGAATTAACTTCTTGAATCTTGATTATTAACAAAGCAAAGTTCTTGATTTATTATAGTAACTGATTACTCGATTTATTTTATCAAAATTGTTTACGCTAATTAAACCTCATGGTTGACGGATTAATTTTCATTTTTTTATTTTTTTTTTTAATTTTTATAAAGAATAGGTATACAAGAAGTTAGGATAGTCTTCTCTCAAGACTATACAAATTAAAATTGATTATTCTTGGTCTATTAGGAGTAATTGAGGACAACTGAGTAAAAGTATCATGTATGAAATTTTAGGAAATCTTTTGTCCACCATCAAATGTAATATATAATGTTTATAGCCAATTAGCCATTAATGTAAAAGACTACATACTAACCTGGTTTTCAATAATAGTTGATATATGACAAAGATCAACTCGCCTTATGAACCGCGCACGCAGGTCAAGATGGTGAGGGCTATGTATAACGGTATAAGTGTACAACCATATTACCCACTCTATTGATGATGATTGTGGATGAACATTAAAATTGAATTGAAAGAAACTTTAATTTAATTTCCCATTGTAATAATTGTATAAGTGCCATATATTTGCTTTTTATGTTGATAAAAAATGATGTAGATCTTGTAGAAAACTAATCCTAAATAATGAATGTTATATTTCAACATATTTTCTACCGTGTCTAATGTGTTGATGACTTACAGCTAATACAAAGGCCAATGTTAAGACTTAAGAGCTCATTTTGCCCACCGACCAGACCACTACAAACCATGGCTCAAAATAGGCAGGAACGATTATATTGGAACCCTAACAAGCTGCACACAAAATCTATTGATTTAAATTATAAATTACACTTTCAATCATACTTGGGTATGTTTTAAAAGCATGCATAAAAAAAATTAACAAAATTTAATCCCTCTATTTTAAATCATGGATTTATGGTTGAAAAGGGCATGTAAATCTTTATACAATCTGGCCATTGTTACATTTTCTCCACATGATTGGTTCATCACATGCTACAAATCTAAATCTTGATCACAATTCCCCAATTAGACACCCTTGATAGAGTAGGAACGATTTTAACTTACCCAAAAACAACAAAAGGTAACAAATCAACCAAGTAATATATTTATTCTTTTTTGTTCGTAATGTTTCATTTTGAAACTCTCATAACGATTATACTTCGTATGTTATTGTTAATAATCATCAGTATGATCGAATAAGCTAGGCCGCCACTATAATACAAGAGACTTTTTCTCCAGATAAAAAGAATACACGGCATATACGAACTATAATTGTTACAAGTATTTAAGTATATAAAAAAGTGTAGTCGATATTTCTGATTATTATGCTTAAACAATGGATGAAATTTGTCATTCACATTCATCATCTTGGACAGCTTGATATTGTGAGAAAGTTGCATAGTTCCATATGATAACATCCGTCATACATTACCTTTTTTTCCGCACTAATTAACAATGATTAATCCACAATTTTTATATTAGCACACAAAAATCAAACCAAATCCTCCTAATAATATATACTTGGGACAATTATTCATACCTAACCCCGACATTTGTAGTTGTCCTTCAAGTATATCATTCAATGGCAACTTGACAATTGTTCAACTTTGACACGTTTCCCTTTCATCTGTTTTATAGTGACAATATCATCCAATGTAAACAAAATTAGATAATAATAAATGAATTAATCAATAACTTATGCATGTAATTGCGGACTTCATCACTACAAGTGTACAACCATTAATCAGCTTTAATTAGTAACTAAAAATATGGTATATGGATCCTAATCTAATGCGACTAGATTCTAAATGCATGTAAGCTTTGTTGGTGGTGTAGATTAATGACTAAATTATAGCTATACTAATTTACTAATCAACTACCTTATTATCATGCAAATAAATCTATCCATATCTTCATGAATACTACATCAATCTCTCCTAGTACGAATATTCATATCAAGTTAGCAATACAACCTTGTTATAACCCTACCTATAAATTATTAAATACACGAAGTAATAGGAGAAATATAACAGGAGAAAATATAACTATGTAGATCGTACTCTCAACACTCCCATTTTCCAAACCTCATTCATTTCTTCCTCTCTTTTTCTCTCCACCACAACAATCCCACATTCACAAAACACAACCACATTCACAATGCAAACTTCCCTCTTTGGAGCATTGCTCCTCCTCCTCCTCCTCCTAGCAAGCAATGCAAATGCACACAACATCACCAAAATCCTAGCCAAGTTCCCTGAATACTCCACCTTCAACCACTACCTCACGACCACTCACCTCGCTCCCGAGATCAACACCCGCCAAACCATCACCGTCCTCGCCGTCGACAATGCCGCTATGAACTCCCTCATTGCCAAGCACCTCCCCATCTCCTCCCTCAAAAACGTACTCTCCCTACATGTTCTCCTAGATTACTTTGGCGCCAAGAAACTCCATCAAATTACCGACGGTACCGCCCTTGCCGCCACAATGTTCCAAGCCACTGGTTCCGCCCCCGGAACCTCGGGCTTCGTCAACATTACCGATCTCAAAGGCGGCAAAGTCGGCTTTGCCGCCACGAAAGACGCCGACGATTCCGGCTCTCTATCCCTCGACGCTACCTTTGTCAAGTCGGTCAAAGAAATCCCTTACAACATCTCTATCATCCAAATTTCTCACGTATTGTCTAACCCTGACGCTATGGCACCCGCGCCAGCGCCCGAGGCGACGAACATTACCGACATTATGTCCGCGCACGGCTGCAAAGCCTTCGCCGACACGCTCAAAACTTTTCCCGACGCTCTCGACGTCTTCACCTCCAACGCCGAGGGCGGCTTGACGGTGTTCTGTCCCACCGACGACACCTTCAAGAGCTTCCTCCCGAAGTTCAAAAACCTAACCAAAGAGGAGAAATCCTCTCTCCTACTCTTCCATGGAGTTCCGATCTACTATTCAATGGCGATGTTGAGGTCCAGCAATGGAATGATGAACACTTTGGCGACCGACGGTAAGAAGAAGTTCGATTTTGAGGTGCAAAATGAAGGTCAATCGGTAACATTGAAGACGAAGATTGTGACGGCGAAGGTTACCGGGACCCTAATTGATGAAGAACCGGTTGCAATTTACACCGTTGATAAGGTTTTGAAGCCGAAGGAGATCTTTAAGAAGGCAGAGATTTCACCGGCGCCGGCACCGGCACCGGAAGCTGAGGCGCCGAAGTCGTCGAAGCATCACCATAAGTCGCCGCCTGCGCCGCCGAGTGATGATTCGGCTGACTCGCCAGCCGATTCGCCGGCTGACTCGCCGGAATCGGATACAGCGGATGATACGAGTGAAGGAGGAGAGAGAGTGAAGAAAGGGTTTTGGATGATTGTTGTGTCGGTGGCGATGGTTTCTATGTTGGTATAGAAAAGAAAGAAAGAGATAATGTTTAGATGAAACGACAACGTTTCGTTCAGGTAAAATTGAGAAAAATAATTAATTTGGGTTATTTAAAAAAAATAAAAAAAGAGAAATTGTAAAAGTATTTGATGATTTTGAATTATGGTGTGCCCAAATTGTTGGCTTGTAATTTTTTTGGTTTTATTTAGGATTTTGTGTGCCAAAATTTGTTTGTTTTTTTTTTTTTTTTTTTGAGTGAATTTTCATTTGGGGTAGGAGTTTGTGTTTTTTTTTTTTTTTTGGTCAATTGGTTGTAATTTGTGTTTGAGAAATTGTAAACACACATAATTGAAGATAATTTATGGTGATATATTAGTTCATTTATCGATGTATTTCTTTAATTTCTCTTGATGTCTAAATTTGTTTTGATATATGCTTAGAATTATATGAATTGAGAAGATTTTGAGTATAATGATGTCATCTATTCATAGAGCATAAATGTATCAAATTGTGTTGAGCAATGTAGGTTGATTAGCAATGTCGCTTTAATGTTTTGTTTAAAGACATTAGGTCGAATTTTTAAATATTTAGTCTTAATTGCGACAATGTCAACAGATTAGTCAAAACTTAAATTGACTCATTGATTTGCACACTTTACGTGTTGATAACTTCATTCGTATATATAGTAGTCTTGATTGATCAAGTTATTACAAATCATTTGAGCTTGCGGAAATTATATGAATTGAGAAGATTTTGAGTATAATGATGTCATCGATTCATAGAGCATAAATGTATCAAATTGTGTTGTGCAATGTATTTTGATTAGCAATGTTGCTTTAATGTTTTGTTTAAAGACATTAGGTCGAATTTTTAAATATTTAATCTTAATTGCAACAACGTCGATAGATTAGTCAAAACTTAAATTGACTCATTGATTTGCACACTTTACGTGCTGATAACTTCATTCGTATATATAATAGTGTTGATTGATCAGGTTATTACAAATCATTTGAGCTTGTGGATTATAATAATATTCTCGTATTAATTTCAGCCGTAAATTGTTCTCTTCTCAAGCCTCCTTAAACTATATAATATTCCGTTAGATTTTACAACTACATTATACAGTACTCCGTAATTTGTAAAAGTATTACAAATATTTTTATGTTTGATTAAGTGACAAAGCAGCATAGGATTGTCATAATAACATGGTGTACTTTTAATTAAAAAAATTCGAGTAAAAATAATACTTGTAATATTGTAAGAAAAAAGAAAAATTAAATGATTTATTCGAGAGAAAAGACGAAGTTATTAGAAGGCAAAAATAATGCTGAGGTGGAGGGTGAATGGGGTGGGTAGACATAGCACGTGAAAAAGCATGTGAGATGACGAGGCAAATGAGCCCACGAGAATTGTCCATTAAATACCTTACCAAAGTATATGGACCATAGTAATTTTTTTTTTTAAGCCATTTTTAAATAATTAAGTAAGCCATATAGTTTTTTAATTTCATGTTTATTCATTTATAGCCGTTATAACAGCAATCATCGAACTAGTGTTAAGAATCTAACAATTAGTTAATGTTCTTAATGGTGATTTACGCAAAGTATGATATCAATACATTGGTAAAGCATGAGACGTACCAAGTGACTACTAAAATAACGTAATAATTCATTGGACCAAAACCTGGATAGTGTAGTAACACAATTTTTAACATGGAGTATGTAGGATATGATATTCACTTTCTGTATTATTTTCGGTTAAAAACGTACTTAAATTTACTTTTTAAATTCTTAATTTTGCGTGTATTTATATATCAAACAAACAATAACAACAAGATTAACGTCAACCAAACCAGCATCAAAGAGAGATCATAGATGGGCAAGATGGCTAGATGCATGTATGCATGAGGGGAAAGATTAATAAAATGGCAATACATACACATATTTTTTTGCATAGAAGCAGGAGTAATTCACGGCTCAAATTGTGGAAAATCTGAGACTTGGTGAGCTACAGATATAATTTTATATACTCGTAATAGTTATTTCAAATTGTTAATGTCAAATGAATTGGCTGCGATGTGAGATTATAAAAAGAAATTCATAACTTTACATCAATTAAACTTCTGTTTATAATGTATTTATTTGTCAATGTATATATTTTAAGGAGTAGCTAATTTGCTCGAATAAAACTGATTTCCTCTTATACGAAGTATTTTGAAAATTAAAATGAAATAAACATTTCCTAGCTCGAAACACCACAATACAGAACATGCCAAATTAATTTATTTTAGTTTGTCACGCTTTCAAGTGTTAGGAGTCGTGTATCTAATGTAATTTGTCCATTCTTCATTCTTTAATTATGTGCATCTTTATTTACATTCATCTTTTAACTCAAATGATGCATTTAAAAAAAAACAAAAAAAAAAAAAAAAATAGCCAGATGAAGTATTACAAGAATACACTTGAAGATGAGACCCTTGAAACATTGATCAACAAATAGTCAATTATTATGAGTTTGTGACAATTAATCTTGGGGGACCATTAGTTATTTATGCACCTAATAAGCACATATGTGGATGGTGAGCATGTGACCATGCCAATTTATAAGGGTACGGATTTGATCCACTGTCATTTCAATGAAGCTCTATCCTACTGTCAAACAGTAAGTTCAGCATCAGCAATGCTGTTGTACATTAGCACGGGATATATTCAATTTGCGAAAAAAGATAATCTTGACAACAAATATGGGAATAATGGAAAGTTAATTTTCGTTTAAATTGGAGTGCACACAATTGCAAGGATATGGATTTGGAATGTTGTCAACAAAAATAGTTCCTCTATTAATGTATTATTATAGGACCAAAGCAATAGAATTGAGGACGAAGAATAATCCACGGTTTGTATTGAGTCTAATGACTAATGACCTAATTTGAGCACAGCCGTGTTAGTTGTTACCTTATCTTCCCGCAAACTACCAAGTATGGAATTCGAAACACTAGCAGACGACGACACTATAAGAAATACTCTACTTAGTCAAAACTACCAAGTAATGATATTCGAAACACTAGTAGAAGACGAGACTATAAGACATCTCTACTTAGTCTACTACGTATTACGTAACAAGAGGAATGAGGTTATTCTGGTTTCCATGCCATAGATAGCGTTCATTCTCGACATTAATGATCTTGTAATCAAATTCTACCAGCAAATTTCATGCCAACGTGCGTTGTACATTGATCCTGGAACTGCACTATAGTTCACAATAGACTAAGCCCCTTCACACAACATCGACAGAGTTGTCACAACACCCAGGCAAAAACCCCTATCACACAACTCACAAGAGGTGCACATCAAACCCGCAGCACGTGAAAGGCTTACATGCTCCAGCCCCTCTACTCACCTCCTTTCGTCGTTCTGTCAACTTCTCAACATAAGCTAAGACATAGGTCAGATCACTCACTTCTTAGCTCAAACAAAAGCCTATTGTGCACAAGTGCACAACCCATATAACTCAGAAAAGAGCATAATTCGACTTCTGATCCTTCAACTGCGTGAGAAAACCCCTGATTTCAGACCAAAACTAACTGAATTCAAACACTCCTTATAATTAAATGCCCTCTTTTAACCCCATTTACATATCATTGATATACTACTATATTGCCATCAAATAGAAAATAATACAACAACATTCTAAGAAAAAAATGTCAACAAGAGTCTATCTTGCATGATTTACATTCGAGGGAAACACGACAGTTTATAACAGATACGAAGTAATATTTACATAATATGCAGCAGAAGCAGCTTACACAGCTTTAATAATCAACTATAAAAAGATTAAAACGTTTAATATTCATTGCATCACCAGCACAAGAATTCATATTATAGCCAGTAGTGTATCCAAACTTATTCTGAGAAGAACAACCATCACTACCCAGATTTGTTCTGAGAGTAATATCTTAGATTTCTCTCAGCACTCATCAGACATGGTGCCAGAGAAACAAGATCATTTTTCTCCGATTATATGTATCTGCCCTCCCGTTTTGCATCTCATCGTATCCACTAGATTTCCCAAAGAATTTCATCCAGAGCTACATCTTGCACCAACACAATTACACAAAAGCATCGAAACTCTGGGCATATGAAGCAATTAAAATGCTGTTCAATGAGTAAACAAGAATTACCCAAATAATATTGAAAGTTAAACTGTGAATGGAAGATATAATATGATCCAACTTCAATGTTTCACAGTTGACTTGTCGCTGTGTGACTTGACTGATGCAGATCGCTGGTGTTCATGTATAAATAAGGTGGTTTATCGTCAGAGGATGACACTGACACTGGGGAAAACCCAGCATAATTCTTGTCCAACTTGACTAGACAAAGATCAATTATGCGCTTGAAAAGACCAGACTTCTGGGCGATAGGTTGAGCTGCAAATTCTGGAAGCAGCATCCACTACAGAAAAAAAGGTAGTAGGAATAATGTAAGCTGTTCCATTATGGTGCCTGAATACTACCTTAGAGTCATCTTAAGATCTGTCTAAACGCGATTGCAGGGAAAAATGGAAACCAAAATATGCGATTAAAAAGCTCAAATAATTTACAAGTTTGGTTCAGACCTACGGTGCCTGTATAACTCAGTCATCTTAAAATCTGTCTAAATGCAATTGCAGGGATAAAACGGAAGCCATGATATACGATAAAAAAAGCTCAAAGAATTTACAAGTTTGATGCAGACCACTATGGTGCCTGTATACAAACTCAGAGTCATCTTAAGAGCGGTCTAAATGCAATTGCAGGGAATAAAAGGAAACCATGATATACAATTAAAAAGCATAAAGAATTTGCAAGTTTGATTCAGACTTATTTTTTTTTATCAACAATCTATTCAAAAATTCAAATACAAAGCTACAACTTTAGTTGCAAGAGTTTACTAATCCCTCTACCACTTATAAAAAACAAAATGCACAGAGAATAAAGAAAGTGAAAAGGTCAAGTAGAGAAAGTGGTAGATGTGGGCCAATTTTAGGTTGTGTTTGGTACAAAGTAAAACATCTTGAACTGAGTTTGTTTTAAATTGAATTAAATTAAGTTTTAAATTCATCTAAATTTGTATGGTTCCTTGATATAAAAATATTAGAGAACAGGAACATAGAGATGGAAGAGAGAATAAATTAGAGAGGGGAAGAGGAAGGTAAGGAATAAGGAGGAAAATGTGTTCCTTACAAAACGAAAATGATTCACACCCTTGAGAAACTACTCTTCCTTAAAAATGTGTGGAGACCGTGTAACTCTTAACGAACATCTTTATAAGAAATGTGTATGTGTTTTTAAGAAATGGAGGGAGTAGCATAAAAGGCAAATACGTGACTGCCAGCATGGGGTTTTCCTTCCCAGCTGACATTACTAAAATGATAAAGCTACAACAACCATATTTAACTCTCAAATTCATAGGGGATTTATTGATCATAAAATTTCTGGGGTATACAAACAAGTTTGAAGCAAAAAAGATCGACAGTTTTGCTGACAAAGTTCCACATGTTGGGCAATATTAGATTTTCTTAACACATCTGATACTCCAACACGATCCCATAAAAAGTACTCTTAGAAGTTAGAAGCAGATTTTCTCAACGAACACTCCAATATGGTCCCATTAAAAGTACTATTAGAAGTTAGAAGAGTAGATAGGAATTAAGGGCAAAATAAACGATAAAGCAAGAGCACTTATAAAGATAAGTGGAACCACAACACATGTTTTAGTTAGTACCTGAGCTGCCTCAATCTCCAATTCTTGCCTCTGAATATTGAAAGATAATGGGCGCAAGAAGCACAAAAAGAATAAATCTGACTTTTCAAAGAATGCTTTGTGAGTTTGCCTGCAAAATGATAAAAGCCAAGATAATATTAATGCTTAAAATGCCTGGCTCAGTGGCCCTCCTCTGATAAACTCATTCAGCTAATATATGCACAGTACTGAGCTGACAAGGCAGAGGATAACCCTTACGTTATAATATAATGCTTCATATTTAAGAATGATAAGTTTGGGCTGAAAAAATCCATTTATTAGGTGAGTTTTACAGGTTTCTTGTTCTTCAGTGCATCACCTTCTTAAAAGTACCAATTATGTGACCCAATTTAAGAAATCTAAAACACACATTACATTCAGAGCGCTCCTTTAACAGAATCCAGATTAGGCGCCCCATATTTGAGAATTATACAAAATAAAAAAATTCGAGACAAAGACTTGGGTTATCGATTGTTCCACAATGGCTAAGTGAAGATAGCATCATACAATTACAAGGAAGCAGAAAACCAGGGAGCCAACATTTCTGAAGCACCCTTGAGACAGTATCACACATCACAAAGTCCAAAGCATGGACCACATGCAAGTTTACAAAAGCATATGATGGGCATACCTGAATGCTACTACCTCGATGAATTCTGCATCAATCTAAAAAGGCAGAATCACATTAGCAAAACATTGGATGCATCCTCTTTCATAATTGGAATAAATGACATTGAGAGACCACTTACTCCTGTCTCTTCCTTCACTTCTCTGACAGCTGCTGCACATATATCTTCTCCCTACATGATAAAGAAACCTATAGAAACTTACAATATGCATTACGCAACAATAAACAGGAAGCGGAAAGTAAAAGTCTCTTAGAAATATACTTCATCCACGACTCCAGTAGGGATCTTCCATATACCTAATCCTCGAAATCTGCCACTCTTCTCCTGTACTACAAGCATCTATAAATAACAATTGATCAGGCTCAGTCAAACTAACATCAATGCAAAACATGACATTCAGAAAACGCAAGCAAAAAAAAATTTAAAAAAATAAAAATAAAAATCAAAGTTTAATCACAGAAAACAAGACTTCTAAACTATGACTTATATAAAAAGCATTCGGTACTCAGCAGTTGGACATTAGAAGTTTAGAACCATAATCATGGGACAATCAAATGTGCTACATCGATGTTAACCACTCAATACTATTATAAAATCAGGGGGATGAAAAATCAATAATCCTTTTAGCACAATAGTCACATCATATAGATCATTTTTTCTGGGAGATGAATTCTTGGAAATGAACTAAATAAGGGATTGCAAAATTGTCAAGGACAAAACAACAATATGTGTACCTCTCTATTTTCTGTTAAGACAATAGCACCAACTCCTACGCGATGGGTAGCATTTGCAGGGATTGTACAAATAGTTTCAGGAATCCAGTAAACCAGCATTAGATAATTCGGCTCTGCATGATGGTACCAAAAGCCCTCCTATAATCAACATAACATAAATACAGAATGAAAGCGACAAATCCACAAAGTAGACTGGAAAGTTAAATATCATATCTATTGTAGACTAAATATTTATGCAGAACTAATTGATGCCAATCTAATTTCCTTTTTCTTTGTGTGTGTGTATGTGTTTTGGAGTACCTTGACCACAATTTCAATGAGGTTTGCAAGTCCAATGGGCAATTTTATCCACACACCCTTCTTGCCCTGCCAAAGCATAGCGTGATAATTCATCAGCAATAATAACAAACAAATTGGCAATGCAGTAGAATAGTGACAGCTAACACAAAATATTTGTCAAGAACCCAATGAAGGAAGATACCTCATGCTTCCATTGAGACATTGAAGCTCTAAGTGCACCAACAAAGACTTTGGAATCCATTGGCTCCTGCACATCCACAATGACACCACCATGGTCGTCGTTTACTCCTGGAAGCAGCCGGATCATATCTACTGCATCTATTTGACCGGTCAACAGTGAACGGTCTAAAGCATCTGACATGGATCCAATAGCTATACTAATAGTATAGCCTGGATAAAAAAAAATATTCAGAGAACAAGCTTCTTGGAGTCCAAGAGAATATATATGATAGAAAGAAGTATATAGAGATTTGCAAGGATTTAGTGACTATTAACAGTAAAAAGCCAGTAGCATAAATTACAAACTTAAAATCAAATTAAGAAAAATGACAGTACTCCCCCCCCCCCCCCACCCCACCTAGTCTTTGCGATTTTGACAGATTATTGCAATTGGTTATAATTTATTCTATATACCAGAATGGACTGCCGCCAGAACAAAGGACATGTTTCTTAAACTAGTAACAATATATGATGACCTTTCCATAGTATTAATAACTTTCAAACAGACAAACAACAATTTCCTAAAAGCCAGAGGCCTACAATCCCCACCCCCACAAAAGTTGCGAAGACAGAGGAATAGCACAGTTATTGACTAATAGTTAGATATCTAGTAACTGTACAAATGACTTCCTCATCTTTATGCTCATTTCAACAAGGAAAAAAACCCTTTTGACTAATATTTTTCAAAGGCAGTGATAACTTTGTGTAGTGTTAGATACCTAAAAGTTAAATCTCTAGCGTTTTTCTAAAGAAAACGTCACTTTGACTCTCTTGGTCACCCAACCTCGCGATTCATGAGCTAAAGTCGGGGAGAATCCCAAAGAACACAATTTTAATGGACATTATGGCCGATAAGGCGGCTAATCAATCAATAATAGTCAGTTGTTAGCCGGTATATGATCCTCAAGATCAATCAATTCACGCTAAAATATAGGTGATGGGTCAATTAATCATCCTCCCTTAGACTAATACTTGTGAAAGAGCAACTTTAGTGCACACATCACTATCTAGAATAAACACTTAATACAACAAAATGGGATGAATTTCATGTTCATACTATCAAATCGATTTCGTTCTCAAGTCAAGTTTTCACACTCAAATCCAAGCTACAAAACGAGCCCATTTCACTCTTCCACAGTTCCACCCAATATAAAATTAAATTAAGTTCATAACACCAATTATACTATAATTAATTCCTACAAATAAGATAATGAAATAATAAAGTTGCCAAATTTAACCATGATAATACATTTATATTATTCAATTTATACCCACCAAGATCACAAATAAAGCAGCAAATTTAATACGGAGTATATAATTAAAAAGAAGCTAAATCATCGTTTTGGGATGAAAATGAATTAAAGTCTGCAACTTTCATCACAATTTTATCCAATATCATTTTCATTTTCTATTCAATTAATTAAAATTAAGGTAAGATGATTAAATAAAATCAAGCTTAAATTCAAAGTAAAAATGATAAAAATTGGCATCAAAATTAGATGGTTTTTTTTTAATTCTTTCTATAATTCCTCTTGAAACAAAATATACCCAGATAAATTCCATCACAATTTATACCAATTTAAACAATAAACAATAAAATAACATTCAGAACTAAAAGAGTAGCAAAATTTGAACCTGGGATGTCGAAGAAATGAAGAATTCCAACTTGCAAACAGAGGAGAAAATAAAAGGATGAGAGGAAAAAGAAAAGGAGGGATACTACTTGTTGAGTGGGGAGCGTTGAATTTATTACTTGTTCATAAAGTGTCAATTTGGAGGTTGCCATTGTGTATTTAAAAAATTCATCAAATACCATTAAAGTTTTCAAAATTTATCAAATGTCACTGACAAACAGTACAATGACATCTTGTGCCATTAAATGCATAGGGACGTTAGTTCTCCGTTAATGCAATTCTTATTTCACCAAATGTCATTATTTTGGAAAATTATTTCACCAAATGTCATTACTTTTCAAATTTTTTTTTGAAGATACTTTTCAAAATTAATGCACAATAATCATTTATTTTAATGAATAAAAATAATACTTTTTTCTCGATTTTCGTGACGAAAATTGCTCGGGTAAAGTTTTGGGGGTCATTTTGTCTCTTTACGGGTACAAATTAAGCTCGAAATTGGAAAAAAAATAACGTAAATGCTCCGTTTTGTGTGTCGAAAAATATCTCGAATATCGTGACGTTATTTTTAACAATAAAAATTGATTGGGTAAGGTTTTGGGGATCATTTTGACCCTTTATGATTTCAAATTAAGCTCAGAATTGGCAAAAAAAAGTAACCTAAATGCTCCGTTTTGCAATTTTTTTGGCAAATAAATTACGATTTCGACATACAAAACGGGGCAATTACGTTATTTTTTTGCAAATTCCGATCTTAATTTCTTTCCATAAAGGTTCAAAATGACCCTCAAACCCTTACCAGATCAATTTTCATGGTTAAAAAATAACGACACGGTAATCGAGATATTTTCAACACTCAAAACGGGGTAATATGGTTTTTTTTTTTTCAATTCTGAGCTTAATTTGTATCCATAAAGAGTCAAAATGACCCCTAAAACTTTACCTGAGCAATTTTTGTCACGAAAATCGAAAAAAATATTTTTTTTTATTTATTAAAATAAATGATTAAAATAAACCAATCACATTATGACATGTGTCATGATTTAATCTTAATGACTAATGGAGTTAACGACCGTTAGTCATTAATGGCATTTGGTGAATTTTTTTAAAAGCTCGATGACATTTGGTGAATTTTGTAAGTAGTTAGTGACATTTAGTGAAATAGCCAATTTTAAAAGTTTACATCAAAAGAGAAATAAAGTAATAAGCTTGAGTACACCATGAGAGTGTGGGTTGAGGGATGTCCTCTGTCCAAGTGTGGTGGAGGAGTTGGTTGCTTATGATTTTTGTTTGATCAATAATACTTAAGCGGATGCTTGTCCGTCTCTTTCTATAATAATAATAATAATAATAATAATAATAATAAATGTGCAATTTTGCAATTACTGTATTATAAAACACACATAAAAGAAAAAGGTTGTGATTATTACAAAAGAGAAATTACCAACAGGACAACAATATCAAATTTTATTAGAGTAATGGAGTAAAACAGACGTAAAAGAATGTCATGTAGAAATCTATTATACGGAGTAATGGAGTATGTAAACTTTCCTAATTTTAGACAATATCAAATTATCATAAACCTATCTTAAAATATCACAAAGATATACGGAATATTATTTTTTTCTAAATAATCTCATAAGATCTACGGAAAATATATCCAATACGTATTTTCAAAAAAGAAAATATATCCAATACGGAGTAATATATATATTCCGATATTCCTAACAATCTAATCTAATCTAATATATATAAATAAAGTAGGCATTTTTCGAGAGCATTCGGTGCGCCACATAAGCAAATGTATATTTTCGACCAATTAAAAATTAGATTTCTATATTTTGGAATTAAAAAATTCGTTTGCCACCTAAACAAAAGTGACGAATGAGATTTAAGAATTTTGCCACGTAAATAAAAACAACGAATATTGATTTATTAGGATTTAATTTATTTAAAAAAACTAAAAATTATCTTTTAAAATAATCATCTTTAGATATACGATTTATATACCTACTATTATAAGATAAATTTTGATAGTGTTTATGGTAAGAAATAAAAATTATTCCTTAATTATAATTAAATTAAAATTTGTGATATTTACCATTATAAATTGATGCATCATATGACACCAACAAAATTCCGTATCAATACAAAACCAAACCAAGCAAATTTTGTGTCATTAATTTTGTGTTAGTTTTATTAGGTCAATAATGGCTGGGTAATTCTTAGCCTAATTTTTAAACCCCATGTTTAAATGTATATTTGTGATTATTGCTTAAATTGTGTTTATTTGGGATACTTATTGATTATATGTTTATGTTTTGTTTACTGAATTTTGTTTTTACATGCAGATCTAATTTAATCAGAGAATTATATTCGAGCAAAAATCTTTGGAATATCAAAGTACGAGTTTCTTGCCTGATGATCCTATTGGATGAGGAGGTATTATATCTTTATAAATCGTTTACATTTATTAAATCTTTTAATGAACCTTTTAGTTTTCATCAATTAATTTTATGATTAAAACAAATTTTTTGTGATTTTGGTAGCTTAATTAAGTCATAAAATTAACTTAATTTTTTATTTTTAACTACCGGGTGATTACGTTCATACCTCAATTAAAGTCAACTTTGTTCTACAATTTTGTTCAAAATTGATTGAAGGAAAAGTTTACTCCATTAGATATTTTTCAGTCGTTACAAATAAGAAGCAATATCGCACGCATTGTCACCGACAACAATATGATGATTCAACTTTCCAAAATACAATTGTTTGGGCGATTGGGGACGATGAAAAAATTCCAATGCATAGATTTAATTTTGTATAATTACAATTTTTAGATTAATTTCACAACAATTATTCACTTTCTGGTAAATATTTTATTTTATTTTATAAGACTATAAAGATTAATTTTATATACATTTTATTTTTGCTAACAAGGTCTATTTATTCACTTTTATTAGATGGAAGAGATATGGGTGTGAACAAAGTTGGTGATCCTATCGAAATTTTTTTTTAATATAATTTTTTTTTACATCGAAATATTACATCTAATAACTATTATTTTTAATGTTCTTATCAAAATATTTATTAGGGGAATAAATTACATAAAATTAATAAAAAATTATCCTTAACAAACAATAGCAAAGTAATCAAAAATATTATGAGTATTGTTTCGGGGTTTTCTGATGTCCTGCGGGAGAGTTACAATTCCGAGACTGGAACCGGACGCCTGTACCTGCAAAACAAACGGATGCTCCGGATGACTGGGGATCCGCCTCCGACGGTCAAGTTAGTACTTGATTAAGGAGTAATTAATGCGGAAATTAAAGTGATTGGGTCTCTCTAGGTGAGAGTGTTTAATGTGTGTAATCTGCGTTTTTAGCGTAATCTCCCTTAATGAGGATTAAGGGAGGTATTTATAACCTCGGGAAACGTGTCAATCTAGGTTTAGGTTAACCTTGGGCTGATTGGGCTTCCCTCGGAAGTTGGGCCTAGGTGACCGGTTATCCCAGGTGTCATGGGAAGGACACGTGTCGTGTCGTAATTGGTCCATAGTGGACGGATCATTGCTTGACACGTGGCAGGCTCCTATTGGCCCATGTGACGGACACATGGCGGAACCTGATTGGTCCACTTGTCAGATGGTGATTGGTGGGGAAAAATCCCCTAATCATTTGCCCCTCACAGGTGGCACGTGACTGGTCACGTGTTACCTGTGACAGGTATCGCCCTGTAACAGGCGACGGCCTGCTACAGGTGTCACTCGGCGAGAGGCCGAGAGATTCTCCCGCCAAAATTTTGAATTCTGGAAGTGACCCTTCGCCTTCTCACTTCGCCTATATAAAGGAGTGTTGACTTCGGTGATTTTCACACTTGGAAAACTTTGTGAGAGAACATTCGGACCCCTGAACTTGCTTTGACATTTTGGACCCTTTCTGCCTACCGCCTGCTCTGACAAGCCGACTGCAAAGGATTTTCAGAACTTCATCAATCGTCACTCGTTCAGGTAACCGTCGGTTCTCTTACTCTTAATTTTCTCTTTACTTTATTCTTTTTTGAAATGGCACCACGGAAGCACACGACACGACCTAGGTTAGTGATCAGCCGGTCACCGGGGACGGCTGAATCTAGGACTAGGAGTGCCGCCTGCCCTTTTCTGGACCCATCTTTGCCCTTTATACAAAGTCCGACTGTATCTGTGTCTATGCAGAGCATGATGGCCAGAACAAAAAAGACTGCCAGGATCTCAAACTCAGACGGCTCCTCCCACAGGGTGTCGATTAGTGAAACATCTGACCAGGCGCCAGATGTGGAAGTGAAACAAAGCGGCTTGAAAGCCGGCAGTTCTGAGGGAGGAGTCAAAGTGACCCCTTCCCATTTTACAGTTGACAATTCTACATTCTCTCCTGCTCCTTTTAAAGGAGAGGAGGCGGGCCCCTCCGGGAGAGGGGAGGAGTCGTCCTCTTCGGACTCGTCAGAGGACGATTCCGAGTCTAGCTCTTCTGGCCATGCTTCCCTGGACACAGAAGAGAAAAACAGTCGCCTACAAGAGGCGAGGCTTTCTCACGCAGTTGAGAAGGGGGACGATTGGGCGGAGCCATCCGCCTCTCACCGAGAGCAAAATACCCCCTACTACTGCACGGTACCTCGGGGTCGGATCACGGCCATGCAAGAGAAAGTGGAGAGCTTTATCGCAAACCACACAATGGGCCCCGGCTTTTTAGTGTTCGTGCCGGATCCAGAAGACACAGTCGTATGGCCGGCTGGTACCAGTTATGATGGCGCCTGCTTTGGCTGCTACGAGGCGGCCATCAAGGCTGAGCTGCGCTTCCCACTACATCCAGCTGTTCAGCGGATCTTGGATGGGTATGAGTTGGGGTTATGGCAGTTAGCCCCGAACTCCTGGGTCAACGTACTCGGCTATGTGGCCGGGTGCGAACTGCACGGGGTGGAGCCGAGCTTCGAGGCTTTCGCCCACATGAACTACCTCAGCCGGACCCCTAAGGCAGGCGGTACCGGCTGGTATCAATTGACGAGCCACAGGGGCTACCTCATGACGAGAGGTAAAGCAAACAAATGGAAGGACTGGCGGAGCACCTTCCTCATCATTGAGAGTTCAGACACAGAGCTGAACAAGCGCTTCAACAGGTGGAACAGGAATCCGCCCCTTCTTGCAGGCGGCC